ACAGCCTTATTGTGATGTAATTTACAATTCAGTCTCAATTTTTGAAGGATATTTTTGCTGGGAAAAGAGTCCTAGCTTACTTTCAGCAGATTGAAAGATACTAATCCATTGTTATTGTCATTTTTTTTTAGTGGAAATATAGATGATTTATAATGTTGTGTTCTATTCCAGTGTCTTATGATTTCCAATTTTACTGAAGGGAAATCTATCCAAACGTCTATCCAAGTACTGCATGATTAGGGGAAGTCCCTGACAGTCCAGTGGTTGGGACTCTACACTTTCAATGCCAGGGCCCAGGTTCATTCCCTGGTTGCAGAACTAAGATCCCACAAGCTGCTTGGTATAGCCAAAAAAGGAAAGGGGGAAAAAAACACCCCACAGATCTTGTAGTTGATGTATTTTGGTATGGATCTCTTTTTATGTCTTGCTCAGAATATGTTTCCTTTCTTGAATCTGAAGATTTGTGTCTTTCATCCTGGAAATGTTCCAGCTGTTATGTTTTCAAATATTCTGCCCCAGTTTCTCTTCTTTCTGGAGCTAGATTTATGTTAGACTTTCTTACTCTATCTTCCATGCCTTTTAACTTCTCATATTTTCCATCTGTTTTCTTTATCATTCTGTGTATGCATCCATTAAGTCAGAAACTATAAAGGATCTTAAATTTTACCCTATTTTTCAGCTCACAAGTTAGCCAGACACATACAGAGATGCTTACACATGTACTGATGACACAGGACACCTGGGTGAGGGATACAGATGGTTTCTTAGAGCAATACCTTGCATTCATTCCCTACACCCTAATTCCCACAAGGTGATGTGATAAGAGCTACATGATGCCTCTGCATACAGTTGAGTGCATCCCAGGAAAGGAACCCCGAAATTCAGAGACTACGAGCACATGAGGTTTTCTGGCATATCTTCCAGAGAAATTACTTTTTACTGTGAGATGTAGGAAAATCTCCCCTTGCTGAGAGAGGAAGGGACCTTGAGTTTTATTGTCCTGAATGTAGGGAAACGTCTCCAGGGAGAGAAAAGAAAGGGCTTTATGTTTGCTACTGTGAGATGTCTCTGGGGAGTGTGTGACCCCAAATTGCTCCAGAGGAGTACAGCCACCAAAGCCATTTGCTACTTAACATGTCCTTTGCTCAGAAGGCTTGGACCATATAGGAGTGTGAGAAATCCGTGGAGACAGATCCTGGACACTTTCTTCTGATTTTCCCCCAGGTTGCTAATTTCCTCTTCAGCTCTGTGTCGTCTACAGAAACAGTGTACTGGTTCAAAATTGGGAAAGGAGTATATCAAGGCTGTATATTGTCACCCTACTTATTTAACTTATATACAGAGTGCATCATGTGAAGTGCTGGGCTGGATGACTCATAAGCTGGAATCAAGATTTCTGGGAGAAATATCAATAACTTTAGATGTGTAGATGATACCACTCTAATGACAGAAAGCAAAGAGGAACTAAAGAGCCTCTTAATGAGGGTGAAGAGGAGAGTGTCAAGCCAGCTTTTTCNACTAAGATCATGGCATCCGGTCCCATCAGTTCATGACAAATAGAAGGGGGAAAAGTGGAAGCAGTGACAGATTTTATTTTCTTGGGCTCCAAAATCATTGTGGACGGTGATTGCAGCCACAAAATTAAGCTGCTTGCTGTTTGGAAGGAAAGCTATGACAAACCTAGTGTATAGTCAAAGCTGTGGTTTTTCCAATAGTCATGTACAGATGTGAGAGCTGTACCATGAAGAAGGCTGATCACTGAAGAAATCTATACTTTTGAATTGTGGTGTTGGAGAAGATTCTTGAGAGTCCCTTGGACTGCAAGGAGATCAAACTAGTCAATCCTAAAGGAAATCAACCCTGAATATTCATTGGAAAGACTGATGCTGAAGCTCCAATACTTTGGCCACCTGATGCTAAGAGCTGACTCATTGCAGAAGACCCTGATGCCGGGAAGGATAGAAAGCAAAAGAAGGGTGTGGCAGAGGAGGAGATGGTTAGATAGCATCACCAGCTCAGTGGCCACGAATTTGAGCAAACTCTAGGAGATAGTGGAGGGCAGAGGAGCCTGTATACTGTAGTCCATGGGGTTGCAGAGTCGGACACGACTGAGCAACTGAACAGTCTCCTGTTCTACAAAGTCTATCTGTTGAATTCTGAATTTTGGTTATTGTATCTTTCATTCCTAAAAGTTCTGTTGACAAGGTCAATCTAACAGTTGTGTTTACTGCAGATATTTTCAAGCTTGTCTTTTATTTTTGTAAACATAAGTTTAATAGCTTTATACTGCTATGTCTGATATTGTTTATTTCTGTTACAACTAATTCTCATTCCTGGTGCCTTGTTTCCATTTTGCACTTGACTATTTCTGTTTGCTACACATTGTCCTGTGGTAACTACTTAAGGCATAAGATAAGGGCTTGTCCTCCAGAGACGTTTTTGCGTTTGTTTCTGCCAGGTGCTTTGGAGGTAGGATTGCTTTAGTCTAAATTCATGACTTGAATTATTTTTTTTTTAATATGTGATTGATAAAAATTGGGTTGAAAGATTTTCTTGGGCTTGTGGTTTCAGGGTCTCTCCCACTCAGCACCTCACTAATTGGTAACTTTATTTGTAGATACCTGGGGATAGAGGTGGGGTTTAATTTTAGTTTACCTTTGCCCAAATGATAGAGTGCTTTGGGGTGACAGTTTTATGGGGAAACAGTTCCCACCATGGTTTTGCCCTGACTTTGATTCTGTCCATCTTTTCCCTCCAAAGCTAGCAAAACTGATATTCAAATTCTCAGAATTAGACAGCTGTCCTCAGGACAAAAAACAGATGTCAGTATTCTCCTTACCTCTCTGGGTTCTCACTTTTGACTTGATCATTTTATCTTGTCAGAAATTTACTGTATTTAATCATTACTTCTTTTTTTTTAACTTTATAAAAAAAATTATATTTTATATTGGAGCATAGTTGAATAACAGTGTTATGTTAGTTTCATCTGTACAGCAAAGTGATTCAGTTATGCATACATACACATGTATCCTTTTTCAGATTCTTTTCCCTTTTAGGTTATTACAGAGTACTGAGCAGAATTCCCTGTGCTATACAGTAGATCCTTCTTGGTTATTGGTTTTAAATAAAGTTATGTGTCCATGTCAATCCCGAACTTCCAGTCTATTCCCCCTACCCCGTATTTAATAATTTCTTATTTTATCCAGCACTAATCTAGTAGGATCAATTGTCAATAAGCCTTTTCTGTAAGGGGCCAAATAGTAAATGTTTTAGGCTTTGTAGGCTAGACATTCTCTACTAGACATTCCCAACCATGCAGTATGTGAATAAACAGGCATTGTGTTTCAATAAAACTTTATTTAAGAAACACAGGCTGCAGGCCAGATTTGGCCTGTAAGTCATAGTTTTTTCAACTCCTGATCTAGAATATATTGTGTGCTCATTATGTCAATAACATTTGTTAAATATTGGTTACTTTCCTTCTTTTGTTATGTTTCTCTCATTACACACTAAACATTATATTTTAGTTTTCAAAGTTGAGTACCATGCTGTTTAAATTAGTTACACTAATATGATTATAATATTTCTAATTCTTGTTCCCATCCCATTGTTATTTTGTATTCTTGCCTCATGCTTTTGTCAAATGAAGTGTTTCTGTTGAGTTTTGTGAACTATTCTTGTGGTATTTTAATTGGAATTTTATTAAACTCACTAATATAGGAAGAAATATCTTTGCTATATTTAAACCTTTCTTTTAAGAATATGAAATATATTTCTTGATCCAAATCTTTCTTTATTCTTCCCAGTAATATTTGGTCATTTTCATTATATCATGAAGATGTATGTCTTTTATTAGGTTAATTGGTAGCTTAATTTTTCATGCTATTGTTAATTGAACACTTTTTAAAAATTATATTTTCTAGTTAATTATTATTGTTACATGAGAATACATTTGACTTTTGTGGATTTATATTTATCTTTTATTTACCCACTTTCCTGAAGTTTTAATTGTCTATTGTTAATGACTGATTTTCTTTGGATTGAGTTAGTATTTAATCAGATTGTCTACATGTAATGATATTCTCATCCTTTCTAGTATGTTTCTCTTTTTGCATATTTTTGTATTGGCCAGAATGTTCAGCATCAGAGTGAAAATAAGAAAACAGTCTCATTTTTGCCCCTATTTTTAATGTATTCACCTCTATTGTAAAATATAAGATATTGTGTTGGGTCTTGATTTTAAGTACTTCTAATTTTATGTTTTAGTGTACCTATTAGAAATGATTTAACAGACACCATTTCAAAATATACATTGATAATACATACTGTATGAATCCATATATATGAATCAAGAAATTTAAGAACAGGCAAAACTTATCTATGGTGATAAAGTCAGATAGTGGTTATATATAGGGTATATTAACTGGGAAAGAGAATGGGAAGCATACTAATGTGCTAGAAATGTTCTATACCTCTTCTTAAAAGCATTACTGCTGAAGGCTGTGGAGTAGGAAAATTATGTCCTTGCTGCCATGCTTCAGAATATAACTGATTAGAGGATGCCACCCTGCGAGGAATAACCAAAGAGCAGTGTAGCTTGAAAGTAGGGAAGGACACATTAAGGTTGAGATGGTAAAGAATCTGCCTGCAATGCAGGAGACCTGGGTTCGATCACTGGGTTGGGAAGATCCCCTGGAGAAGGAAATGGCAACTCACTCCAGTATTCTTGCCTGGAGAATCCCATGGACAGAGGAGCCTGACAGGGCTGCAGTCCATGGGGTCGCAAAGAGTCAGACATAGCCGAGCAGCTAACATTACTATTGATTACATGCTAACTGTGAATCCACAGTGTATCACTACAGTTACAAAATATTTAGTCAAACATATGTACTATTAAGATGGTTAAATATACATATCAAATCATGCTGTGGAATAATGTTAGAAATCTTTATTATAGACTCCTGTGGCTAGTTTTGATCCAAAAATAAAAAAGTATGAAAAATTTGCAGAAGGATGAGACAAGAACAGTAAAACCTGAGAAGGAATGTGAGGAAAGGTTATGTAATGATGCCGTGGACCCTTTTGTCCTGCTTTGTCTTAAGGCTGCCTCTGCTTCCAGGTCATTGGTGGAGGTCAGTGGTGTGACTTCAGTCTTTTTATTCTGTGAAAAACTTCCATATTGGACTGGGCCTTGGAGAAAACATACTTCAGCAAAAGGCCAGTGCTTTTAAACTGGATGTAAAATGGGGAGGTGCCTTTGAATATGCGGGGAATGATGGTCATAAAATATTCTCCACTGGGACTTCCTTGGTGGCCTAGTGCTTAAGACTTCACCTTCCAATATAGGGAACGTAGGTTCAATCCCTGGTCAAGGACCTTAAGATCTCACGTGCCTTATAGCCAAAAACTCAAAACATAAAATACAGAAGCAATATTGTAATAAATTCAATAAAGACTTTTTAAATGGTTCACATGAAAAAAAACTTCTAAAAATAAAAAAGTATATACCTTCACCACTAAGAAAAAATCAGAGTGGGGAATTCCCTGGTGGTCCAGTGGTTAAGACTCTCTGCTTCCACTGAGGAGGGTGAAGATTCAGTCCCTGGTTGGGGAACGAAGATCCCGTATGTTGTGCAGCACACACACGCACACACACACACACACACACACACACACACCACGGCTCTTTGCAGAGATGCCTGATTCTGAGTCTGGGGCAAAAAACTGCACAAGAGAAGTCTGGGACATCTTTTTATTCCAGATAGTAAAGAAGCTCTCAAAGTTGGTAAGTTTATGTCACAAGGACTGAAGAGACAGTCCTGGTGTCTGAGTGATCCCCTGGGCCCAGCAAAGGGACCAAATTTCCAGAGCCTTGAAGACAAGGGGTAACACCCCAAAATAATCTCTGTCTTTTTTCAAACCCTAGAAAAATCTTTTTCCAGGGAGGAGCTGGTCAGTAGAGGTGGCACTGGAAGTCTTCCCAAGAGGAAGAAATCTTTCCCAAAAAAAGGAACCAGTTAGCAACCCCAAGAGTCAGGAAACAAGAGGGTCCCCAAGAAAAAGAGGAAAATGTCCTCCAAGGAGGAGCCTCTCATCAGTGGATCTGAAGAGGCTACTGCCAGCAAGCGCAGCGGCTCCAAGAAAACAAAAATCCCAGGGAAATTAGAATGGACATCTCGCATGTGGGGTGTAACATGTGGATGTATTTCCCAGCCCATCCTCTAAAGCCCCCAAAAAATCAAAACTAAAGAAGCAAAAAGGACTAGAGAGTCAAACTGGAAAGGCTCCCCCTGGCCAGTTTTGAAACAGTTTGAGAATCAATAAGGGTGATAATTATATTGAATTGAAACATACCTAATGTTTAATCCATGAATTTATAATGATACTGAGAAAAAAATTGACCAATAGAGGTTACCAGAGAATTAACTCATTATTTTGAAAACTAATAAAGGGGAAAAAATCCAACATTTATCCTGTTGTTCTGTGTGAACCCAGGCCCCCTACATTGGGAGCAGGGAGTCTAAGCCACTGACTCACCAGGAACATCTCCAGCCCCCTTAATTTCAAGATGGCTTAAGCTGCCCATTGACGGTTAATGCTCGCGGGGGTGGGGCTCAGTTATGTCCAACTCTTTGTGACCCTGTGGACTGTAGCCTGCCAGGTTCCTCTGTCCATGGGATTTCCCAGGCAAGAATACTGAAGCAGGTTGCCATTTCCTCCTCTCGTAGATCTTCCCAACCTAGGGATTGAACCTCATCTAATTTCCTGCATTGACAGGTGGGTTCTTTACCACTAGCACCACCTGGGAAGCCCCTAAGCTACATATTATCCCAGGACTTAGCTCAGCGGTGTCACAATTTTTATGCTTGGTAAAAGTATTCTTTCAGGTTGAGACTAGATGATTCCAAAACACAGCATCTTGCTGGTAAACCATTGCTCTCATTGACAGTGCTCGTCCTTCTTTTCCCAATTTCCCCTCAGGCAGAGAACTCAGTTATTCCTTTGTTCTTTGGATTTTCAGTGTGCTTTGATCATTTTCTCACACTTCTTTCCCCATTTGCCTTCCCTCTATTCTTCAGACCTAGGCCAGGTCCCCTTTTTCTGCAAGCCTTTTCCTAATAAGCCCTTCCCTAATAATATCTTTTGTGCTTCTTTTAGCATTGGGGGAAAACCAGGTCATTTTGCTATTTAAGTGAGCCTTCAGTTAGTTAAAGATTATGTATTTCAAATGTCACCTGTTTTAAATGTCAAAACAGTTTTTTGACCAAAAAAAGTCTCATTACTCTGGGCACAGTTGGAACAGTAAATATTGTGATTAATGCAAAGCATGCAATTGCACTGATATTTTTCTCCCTCATTTTTTAGGATCATGGCTGCTGTTCCTCAAAATAATCTACAGGAACAACTGGAACGTCATTCGGCGAGAAAGCTTAATGATAAATTGAGTCTTTCAAAACCGAAATCTTCGTAAGTACTTTAGTTTGCTTTCATACAGGTACCAACACTCAAGTGAAAAGAAGCATCTCTTACAACTCTTTCATCATAGAGATGAGAAAATGAAGCTGAGAGGGTCAATGGTTTTCCCACATTACAAAATAATAATAGAGCATGTTTTAGCAATGCCAGGTAATGAATTGTTCAGCACCTTTGCACAGTTTCTAGCACATGATATTTGCTCAATAAATATTCATTGAGTGAACAATGAATCTTGTAAATATGAGCAAATTGGTATTTTTTATTTTTTAATTTTTATTTTTGGCAGTGCTGGGCCTTCATTGCTGTGTGGGCTTTTCTCTAGTTACGATGCTCGGGGTCTGCTCTCTAGTTGCAGTGCATGGGCTTCTCATTGTGGGGACTTCTCTTGTGGTTCCTGGGCTCTAGAGTACAGAACCAGTAGTTGTGACAGACGGGCTTAGTTCCTCCCTGGCATGTGGGATCGTCCCAGACCAGGGATCGAACCTATGTCTCCTGCATTAGTAGGTGGATTCTTTACCACTAAGCCAGCAGGGAAGACCCAAATCAGTATTTTTAATATCTTAATATAATTTTATGTCCTTTTCAAAAGCCATGTAATAAGGAAACTATAGCTCTCCAGTTCTGTTCTTTCTTTCAAGCTGTATTCCAAAGTCCTTCTAACAATACCTAATGATGTATAGCCCTCATTGTGCCCTTAGCAGGTTCTAGGCACATTCTTTGTACCTGACTCTAAAGTTACCATTGACCTTCATGTCAGTAAATCCAGCAGATGTCCAGGGCCCTTGCCCCTTTCACTTGTCTTTCAGATTTCAGCATAGCTGGAAGTTTTTAATTCTTTTCCCCATAAAACTTTTATCAGAGTTGCAACAGGTAGTCACGTTTGCGTCTCTTCTCTTCTTTGCTTCTGCTTTCCCCACCTCTGGAGAGGTTGTTATTTTCTCACATTTCTTTCCCCATTTGCCTTCCCTCTATTCTTCAGACCTAGGCCAGGTCCCCTTTTTCTGCAAGCCTTTTCCTAATAAGCCCTTCCCTAATAATATCTTTTGTGCTTCTTTTAGCATTGGGGGAAAACCAGGTCATTTTGCTATTTAAGTGAGCCTTCAGTTAGTTAAAGATTATGTATTTCAAATGTCACCTGTTTTAAATGTCAAAACAGTTTTTTGACCAAAAAAAGTCTCATTACTCTGGGCACAGTTGGAACAGTAAATATTGTGATTAATGCAAAGCATGCAATTGCACTGATATTTTTCTCCCTCATTTTTTAGGATCATGGCTGCTGTTCCTCAAAATAATCTACAGGAACAACTGGAACGTCATTCGGCGAGAAAGCTTAATGATAAATTGAGTCTTTCAAAACCGAAATCTTCGTAAGTACTTTAGTTTGCTTTCATACAGGTACCAACACTCAAGTGAAAAGAAGCATCTCTTACAACTCTTTCATCATAGAGATGAGAAAATGAAGCTGAGAGGGTCAATGGTTTTCCCACATTACAAAATAATAATAGAGCATGTTTTAGCAATGCCAGGTAATGAATTGTTCAGCACCTTTGCACAGTTTCTAGCACATGATATTTGCTCAATAAATATTCATTGAGTGAACAATGAATCTTGTAAATATGAGCAAATTGGTATTTTTTATTTTTTAATTTTTATTTTTGGCAGTGCTGGGCCTTCATTGCTGTGTGGGCTTTTCTCTAGTTACGATGCTCGGGGTCTGCTCTCTAGTTGCAGTGCATGGGCTTCTCATTGTGGGGACTTCTCTTGTGGTTCCTGGGCTCTAGAGTACAGAACCAGTAGTTGTGACAGACGGGCTTAGTTCCTCCCTGGCATGTGGGATCGTCCCAGACCAGGGATCGAACCTATGTCTCCTGCATTAGTAGGTGGATTCTTTACCACTAAGCCAGCAGGGAAGACCCAAATCAGTATTTTTAATATCTTAATATAATTTTATGTCCTTTTCAAAAGCCATGTAATAAGGAAACTATAGCTCTCCAGTTCTGTTCTTTCTTTCAAGCTGTATTCCAAAGTCCTTCTAACAATACCTAATGATGTATAGCCCTCATTGTGCCCTTAGCAGGTTCTAGGCACATTCTTTGTACCTGACTCTAAAGTTACCATTGACCTTCATGTCAGTAAATCCAGCAGATGTCCAGGGCCCTTGCCCCTTTCACTTGTCTTTCAGATTTCAGCATAGCTGGAAGTTTTTAATTCTTTTCCCCATAAAACTTTTATCAGAGTTGCAACAGGTAGTCACGTTTGCGTCTCTTCTCTTCTTTGCTTCTGCTTTCCCCACCTCTGGAGAGGTTGTTAATTAAGGACTATGAGCCTGAGAGGCAAAGTAATGGGAATGGCCTGGATAGTCTCAAAGCTGAGTAATGAGCTCCTGAATAGGAAGGTGCAGAGCGTACAAAGCATAATGTAAGTTATCTTACATATTTTAAAGTCAGAGAGGCATATAGATTCTTTTCTCATTTGGGATACAATGAAGGTTAAGTCATTATATAAATTAGTAAAAAAAAAAAAAATCAGAGTTTTGTATACCTTCTGGGTTTGTTAAAATTAATCCATCTTATTCAGTTTTTCGATTCTTTTTCAGAGGTTTCACTTTTAAAAAGAAAGTGCCTTCAGCCAACGATGTCTCTGTAACCAGTGTGTCAGGGGCAAAAACACCTGTGTTGAGTGATAAAGATGTTAATATCACTGAGGCCTTTTCCTTCAGTGAACCTTTACCCCACACCACCCATCAGCAGACGGGGATCAATGACTTTAAAAGTGCTCCATCCGGACCGCAAACTAAGAGAGTTGGTTCAAAACCACTATTGCCAAGTTTGTCGCAGGTTCCCCAGGAAGTTTCATGTACAGCCCAGAACACACCGGTTATAAAGCAATCCTACAATGCTACTTTCAAGAAATTAGAATTTAGTTCCTCATCAGATTCTCTTATTCCCTTAAATGATTGGGATGATATAGATGACTTCGATACTTCTGGAAATTCTAAAGCATTTGTGACACCGTGCACAAACCGCTTCATAAGAGTAAGCACTGCTCAGAAATCAAAAAAGTCTAAGGGGAACTTAGTAAAAGCACAGCTTAATAAAACAAATACAGGGAAGACTGATTTGGCTCCCTCCTCCTCTGAGAACAAGCAGGAACGTTTGACTGAGAAACAGAAGGATGACTCAGAATGGTTAAGTAGTGATGTGATTTGCATTGATGATGACCCCAATTCCGAAGAGCTGATAAATGAAGATACTCAGGAAAATCACTTGTTAAAAACTCATTTGGGAGCGGAAACAGGTAAAAATTATTATTTCATTTCAGTAGGCTGATTGTATTAGTTTATTCAAAGCTAGACATTGGGAAGAATAGCAAATATGATTTAGCTTTTGTCCTTAGGATATATAGAGGTGCTTATTGAACCATCTGTTGGCCATGTTCTTGAGGCAGAGCATTCTAAGGAAATGGAAGATTTTATTCTGCTAATACAGTTTTTATATTAGCAAGGATAGTTTTGTGATTTTAAATATGAAGAAATATGTAGATAATACAATGCTTAATGGAATAAGTCAGAGACAGAAAGAAAATTACTGTGATATCACATGTGGAATCTAAAAAATAATAAAAAATAAATATACAAAACAGAAGCAGGGACATAGAAAACAAACTTGTGGTTACCAAAGGGGAGAGGGACATGGGGGACAAGTTAGGAATATGGAATTAATAGATACAAACTGCTATACATAAAATAGATAAGCAATAGGGATTTACTGTATAGCACCGGGGGTTATACCCATTATCTGATAATGTCCTGTGGTGAAATAAAATCTGCAGAAAACTGAATCCCTTGGCTGTACAACTGAAACTAACCCAATATTGTAAATCAACTATACTTAAATAAAAAGAAGAGAAGATTCCATAGAAGTTCAAATGGCTTCTTGATGGTGTGTTGACTAGTTGGTAGTAGAATTGGGATGTAAAACTAAGCTTTTGTGTTATAATTCTTTTATGATTTGCACTACCTAATATTGATGAATGATACAGTATAATCATTGCTGTTCAAGTATTGTAAATTACATTCAAGTAGCTTTCTGTTTAGGTCTCATAGTTATTAGATGTCTAGAACTTAATAGCTGAGATCAGCCATATGTGGAGGTACCCACTTTATTTATTTATTTATTTACTTTCTTTCTTTTTTTTTTTTGGTTTTTTTTTTTTTTTTCCATTTATGGAGGTACCCACTTTATGAAATAATTGTAAATATGAGACTAATATTTTTAAACACCTGAATCCCATCAAGGTTACTGCAGGGTAAGAGGGGACTGAAAAGTGACTGATTATAAGAAAAACTACAGTCTAATCAAATGTGTTACTATTTATGAAGAGAAAATTTGGCAAAAGGTAAACTAGAGAGCTACGATTTGGCACTGTTTTCCCACATAGTTGAGAAAGAGACAATTATTCTGGGAGACTTAAATAACTAAGACGCCTTTGGGATAAGGTAGACATAGTTTATCTGTATCAACAATGGTACCTGTATAAGCCTCAGGCTTACTTACTGTACTTTACCCTTATTTAAATGTGAATGAAAAATAGAGAAATGAAAGCACTGATACTAAATATGAGTTTCATAATTTAACTGGAGACAATCATGAAAATCCTTAAGCAAATCATCAGCCTCAATCCAGCTTTTATTGGACTTAATCCAGTTGATTCAGTCACCTTCCATGAAGAAACAAGCCAACATTAATGTGTGAAAGGAGAGAACTCATATAGTACAAAGTGCTACTAGCGCTTTTGTCTTATCCAAAGCACTCACTTTTAAGTGCTCACACCCTGTTCTTTCTGGCTCGTAAATATTAAAATAACCTACACTTATCAACTGTTTTACCTAATTTTTTAAACTTTTTATTTTGTATTGGGGTATAGCCAATTAACAGTGTTGTGATGGTTTTAGACGAGCAGTGAAGGGGCTCAGCGATACACATACATGTGTCCACCCCCCACCACTCCCCTCCCGTCCAGGCTGCCACATCACATTGAGCAGAGCTCGCTGTGCTGGACAGTCGGATCTTGTCGGCTGGGGAGTTTGGCGGCATGTACACTCTGCTGTGTTTAAAGCTGGTAACCATCAACTCTTTTACTTTAGATAATTGGGAAAAGAAGAAAAACTCGGAAGAAACAGAATTACGTTCAGTTGAGAGATCTTCATGTGTTGAGCTTGACGAAGATGATTATGACATAGATTTTGTCCCACCTTCTCCAGAAGAAGGAATGACTTCTACCTCTTCATCCTCTTTAAAATGCTCCAGGTAAAATAGTTTTATTAATTAATAAACGTTGTTTCTGAGATAGCTGAAATAACTTTAGTTGTGTAATATCTCCTCAAAACTGACTAATTTCATGCTACTGCAGTTTGTTTTGTATTCAAATGAACACATCAAGAAATTCCTATTTATATACATATTATTTAATTGTTGGTATTCTAAAACTATATAGTCCCATTATCATTAATTACATGGCACCTCCAAATGGTTTTATGTAGTTGAGCTTCATATGTGGAGTGTAGTCCTAAAGATACTGATTTCCTAGACCTGAAATGACCCAAAACTAATACCTTCTTTGCGAAGTGACTTTTACTAAGTAAAATGTCCTTTCTTCTTCTTTTAAAAATTTTTCTTAATCCAAATATTAATAGAATTGGCCATTGGTATTTGTCATCCACTGAATTTTGATAAATTTGTGACATGATTATGATTAATTGATGGTGCTATGGGAAAATAGAGAATCCACATAGTGCATTAATAGCTTAAAATACTAATAGTCGTTGTTACCGCCATACTGACTCCAGCCTAAATCCACTCAGTTGAGAGGTCTGATATAGTCTATGCTGCTAACCATATTTTGATGAGAAACAAATCCCTCTAGTACATCACCTGAAGGAAGGAAGGCAGACAGGAAGGAGGTGTTTGTCTACATAAGCTTGTTTCTCTGGGTTTTTGTTTTAACAGGTGGGTTGAGATGTTTACAGAGGTGGGAGAGGGTGAGGTGTGATTGCTATATGACAACAAAACAGAAAAACTCCAAAAGTTGCCCTCTTTCATCTCCCCCATAAAAATACAGACAGAGTTGGAGGGGGGGAACTCAGCAAGAGTTCACATAGCATTATTCCACAGCATTCTTATTTCTCAGGTGAAGGAGTTGAAGCCAAGTGTGTACTGCACAGATAACATTGTAGCCACTTTAACAGGATATTGACTGATAGTCTTATAGTCCAACAAACCAAGCATTTTTTTAAATTGCAGTATAGTTGATTTACAATATTGTGTTAGTTTCAGTGTACAGCATAGCGATTTAGGGTTTGTATTTTTCTTTTTTCTGATTATACTGTTATAGATTGTTACAAGATATTGAACATAATGCTCTGTGCTATACAGTAAATCCTTGTACCTTGTCTATTTTGTATATGAAAATGAAAGTGTTAGTTGCTCAGTCATGTCAATTCTTTGTGACCCCATGTGCTGTAACTTGCCAGACTCTGTCCATGGAATTTTCCAGGCAAGAATACTGGAGTGGACAGCCATTCTCTTCTCCAGGGGGCCTCCCCAACCCAGGGATCAAACCGAGATCTCCTGAACTGCAGGCAAATGAGCCACCAGAGGAGCCCAGTTTGTATTTGCATCCCGTCCTCCTGATTTGTTCTCTCTCTTCCCTGTCCACATTGCTTTATTCCTTCTCTGTATGTGTGTATGATTTTTTACATTGCCATAATCAGCATGTTGCTATCATTTTTCAATCTGCTTTTCTTTTGCTGTTATTTTTAAAACATTTTCCATATTGCTGGATAGTCATTTTTATTCCTCTTAATGGCTACATAATTTATTGAGTTGTCATACCACAATTTAGTATATTTTACCTAGATCTTCAACAGTTGGAAAATGGTTCTTTCGAAGGTTGTTTCCAAGATAAAGTCTCTCTATATATTTTCTACTGCAACCTTGTATACATATTTGTATATGTTATAAAACTAAAAGAGGATTTTCACAAAAGCTTTATGTGCAGTGCGCCCTTACATTTTCTCTCATATTTTATTACATTTTAAAGTGCTGGTTGTGACTTCTGAACTTATTTCAGAGATGTAATGGTTAGAAAATATATAACAAAAAGGGGAACATGTTTTTCTATCTCCTGTATTCCTAAACCTCTTTAGCTGGCCTTCAAAATCCTCTCTTTGCAGACCCCAAATTACCTTTACAGCTTATCTCCAGTTATGTTCTTATGGTAACCCTAAGCTCCGTTGCCTAATCACAGTAAACTGACCTTCTCTCTCCTTCATAAGCGTTAGCTTTCTCTGGATTGCCATAGTATCCTCTCTTTAACGCTTATTTAATACTAATTTATTTTGTTACTTTTAAAGTATTTTTTATATCCAGTCAGAATGACCATGTTTATGTGTGTTAATATCAAGGCCAAAAGATGGCAAACTTTGAGGGCCAGCTAGGGCTTCCCAGATGGATCAGTTGGTAAAGGATTCACCTGCAATGCAGGAGACGAGAGTTCGATCCCTGGACCGAGAAGATCCCTTAGAGAAGGAAATGGCCACCTGCTCCAGTATTTTGGCCTGGGAAATCCCATGGACAGAGGAACCTGGTGGGCTACTGTCCATGGAGTCACAAAAGAGTCTGGACATAACTTAGCAACTAAACCACCACCTAAGAGGTTTTATAATAGAGATACAGAGACATGTTTCTCTTTTCTGTTACATAATGTCTAACCAATTGTGGAAAATATTAGAGGGAAAAGTATGCATTTGGTCTAGTCTGTACTCTGATCAGCTTAATGTTTTTTTAATTTGTAGTATGTTAAAGGATCTTGACACTTCTGACAAAAAGGATAGTCTTAGCACATCAGAAGACTTGTCAAAACCCAAGGAAATGGCCACACAGCAGCCTCATCGAGAAACCAGCCCAAGCTGTGAAGGTACAGAAGTATTTTAGACATAACACATGTTGTAGCTGCTCACTTTTGAAAACAAAGTAAGGTTGTATTCTTAGCCTCTGACTGTATAGTATAAGATGATGAATCCATAGTTTCTTTTGATCTAGTAGAGAATCATCCATAATAACCAACCACCAGCATTTGCTCAAATAACTTCGAAACTCAGAAACTTGTTTTCTCACCAGATGACTCTCTAACAAGTAGCGTTTTAGAATAGAGAAGGAATTTTTTTCTCATACTGAACCAAAATTTTGCCTTCCTGTAGCTTTAGTCTTTGTGAGATAAATGTGAAGTGTCTAGAGCTAAATATTAGATCTTTTACCTCTTTTTTATAGCTACTGATTTCTAGACCTTTCATCCTGTTAGTTCTCTGGGTTTGGTGTTCACTTAAAGTTTCATACTTTTTGTTTGCTTGATTTACTTCTAATTCATTTTTAAATTTTCTATTAAATATCTAGTATAAATAATCCAGTAGCACCTAAAGGCTTAGAAAAACTGCTGTGTCTCCTTCTCACTCCTGATTTCTGTTTCCCAAAGGCTTTTTCAGACTAGAAATTTGTTTCCTTCTAGTCTGAATTTTTCCTGGTGTTATTCCTTTTTGTTTTCTTTTTGTTTCCTCTTTTCTCTTTCACTCTCCCTGGAACTTCAGCTATTGGACCATTAGACCTCTGTTAATTAACTTCTCTGTTTTTTATCTTTTGCCTTTTTTGCTTTCTGAGAGATGTCCTCAGTTTTTTAAATTAACTCTTGCATGGAATTTTTCATTTTTATCAGATCAGTTTCCAACAGCTGCATTGTACTCTATGAGTATTTCTGTAATGTTTTCTATTCTTGTTTTATGGGTACTGTACTTAGGGGGTGTGTGTGTGTGTGTTTGCACATATACATGTGTAGTGATCTCTTCGTGTGGTTCCTGTTTCCTCTGAATTTTTGTTTATTTTCGTCTCTGAATTTATTGTTAAAGATCCTCCTGAAATACCTGATGTAGGCACTCTTCTAAGTGCCTTACAATATTAATTAATTTAATCCTCACAATGATCCTTTAAGATAGTTTCTGTTATCCCATTTTACAAATAAGGAAACCAAGATACGAGGTACCAGAGAGCTAAATAATTACTCATGGTCATAGAGTTAGACAGCAGCAGAGCTAGGATTTGAACCCAGCAGTCTTGAGGCTCTTGAATTTGCACTGATAGCCACCGCACCATACTGTTCCTGCATCATCAGGTTTCACTGATGAAATGGTTGGCTAAGACGAGAGCAGGGACAGAGTCCTACACAATGTCCTTAGCAGCCTCCCTCTCAACTGACAGCAGTCTATTCATCAGCACCTCATGTTCATCTTGTTACAAATCTGCCTTCAGACTGTGTTTTTCTCCCTTGTCCCTGGGGATGCAAAAGACTCACTTATTTGACTCTAGAATTTGGAGGTCTGAGACAGCAAGAGGAAAAAGGTGGGCCATTGGCTCTAGAGCAGTGCTGACCTGGTATGCAAACCTCCCTCTTCCCACTCCTGGCCGGGTGACTGTGCCAAAGTAGTTCAGCTTCTTCGGACCTCAGTTTTTCTTCTGTTAAATGAGAAGAATAGTATCTACCTTGCCTGGTAGTTGTCAGGATTCAAGGTGAAGTGCCCCTTGCACTGCAGGCCTTCAATAAATGGGGGCTTTTGTTATCTGCCAGTCTAGTGATCCTTTCAAAAAGAACTACGTTGAGATGGCTGTTGTATTTTTATGAACTCTTGCGAACTCTGTAATTGTTTCCTCTTTTTCTTAGAGCTCACAAAGCAGCCATTTGATAACATGTTCTAGAATTTTGCCTTGAATTAACTTCAAGAACACCAGCCTGTAGCTTTTGGCATCCCTTTAGAATTTTTTTGAAAATTAGAACAATGTTTGACTGTCTTCACTCTCCCTTCAACTCTCCTATTAACTAGTCACCTCATGTATTAGTGAGACTTTCTTTTGCAGGTTTCCTTTGTACACTGAGGTGTAATCTGTCTAGACAAAGAGACTTGAGCTCCTTTCCAATAACTGTATCTCTGAGCCTGTCTTGATTTTCATTTCCTTTGGACTGTTGTTTATCCTCTTTCCAATCCAATGCCCGTTCTCCTTCCAGAGAAAACAGATGTCAAACAGGAGCCCAGCGAGCGCACTTGTACCACTTCACACTTCACGACCCTGTTTACGTCAGTCACGAGTGAAAGTCCTCACTCGCAGGTCGTTCTCACATGGACATGTGGGTCCCATCGTCAGGGTCATGTCCACACCCCCACGCTCATCTGTCCTCTCGTCCTCTCCTTAGACCCTTCGGCTGGCTGCCCTCTCTCGATAATTTCCTAGCAGCCTCCTCCTCTTCTCTGATTGTCTCTGAGAATACTGTTGCCTCTAGCCGCCTAAACTATTTACTTCACCTGAACACCTTAGGCCCCAGGGGTCGGTAGGCATGTTTCTTGCTTCCCATTACACCCCTAACCCATTTTTTTTCCTTTGCTTCCTCTAAAGCCACCCCTCCTCTGACATCTGTTTCTTAGTTATACAGCTGAAATGTAAAAGTGTGGAGTGGGCTGGCTCGATTCACATGTCCATACGGGTGTTATCAGGAATTTCTCTCTCTCACACCTGCTTCTCACGTCTCCCCATCTCAGTCTTCCATTTCCCTCCATCTCTGTTTTCTGCTTTCCCTTACGTTGGCCTTATTTTCACGCTTGTATTTTCCCTCAGGGTGGCAGAGTTGGCCACCTGCAGCCAGTCCAGCTTGTTGAAGAGAGAGATCCTCTTTTCCAGTCAGTCAAAAAACTCTAAGATCTAATTCTCATTGAACTGTCTCACGACATGCCCACTGAGGAGGTGAGGGTGGGGGTGGAGGGAGGGAGTGGTCTCCAAAAGGAAAGTGTGAGTGCAGTGCTGTTAGGAAACTCTGGTTGGCAGGCAGACGGGAGCAACAGGTGGAGTTCTTACCTGTCCGAACTGTATGACGTACTCTGTGTGGGCATGGTGAGATTTACATATGAAGTTAGTTAAAAAAAATCATAAAACTTTTCTATCTTACAGCAACCTTGGTTACCTTATAATAAGAATTAGCAGGAAATGAAACGATAACAATTTTGAGCTCTCATGATACAGATTAGAGCCAGTCTGATTTCAGAGGCAGGTAATGGGAGACTATATTATTGTTCAGAATCCTGTTTTTAAACTACTTCAGGTGTTACATGCAGGGCTTTCAAAATTTTAAGTCTCTTTTTGTTGTCGGTGAAAAATACTCACAGCATAATGACTTTTCAGCTAGACAGACAAGCTTACAGCAGCAGCTTGTCCGTGTGATGGACCGAATCTGTACATTAGTTGATGGTGTTCCTGATGATGAGCTGAAAACTTTGGATTGTGGGAATGAGCTGCTCCAGCAGCGGGACATAAGGTATCTTGACTTCTTTCCTTCTGGGTCTGGTTGCGTTTCCACCGACACTGTAAGTGTCAAACATATAGGGCATCCAGGCATTCTGCCCCACAAATTGTGTAGCATACTTATCACTGTCTTTTTTTTTTTTTTTTTTAATTCTATGGTTGGAATGTAGTTGATTTACAATGTTATGTTAGTTTCAGATATATCAAAAAAATGACTTAGTTATACATATACATATATCTATTCTTTTTCAGATTCTTTTCCCAAATACGTTATTACAGGGCTTCCCAGGTGGCACTAGTGGTAAAGAACCTGCTTGCCAATGCAAGAGATATAAGAGACATGGGTTCAATCCCTGGATCGGGAAGATCCCTTGTAGGAAGAAATGGCAGCCCACCCAGTATTCTTGCCTGGAAAATTCCATGGACAGAGGCGCCTACTGGGCTACAGTCCATGGGTTCTGAAAAAGTCAGACATGCCTGAGCAACTGAGCACACACATGGGTTATTACAGAGTACTGAGTAGAGTTCCCTGTGCTCTACATTATATCTTAAATTAATTTACTTTTTCAAACTATTCCTTTAGCATTTGTATTCAGATTTTTAAGGTTGGAAATATTTTGCCAGTTTGGCATGAAAACTAAATATAAACTTGTGTGTACCCTACCATTGCCAGCTTGTTATTTAGTTGCTAAGTAATGTCCAAATCTTTGCAACTCTATGGACTGTAGCCCACCAGGCTTCTCTGTCCAAGGGATTCTCCAGGCAAGAATACTGGAGGAGGTTACCATTTCCTCCTCCAGGGGATCTTCCCCACCCAGGGATCGCACTTGTATCTCCTGCATTGGCAGGCAGATTCTTTATCACTGAGCTACCAGGAAAGCCCACACCATTGCCAACTACTCATCGTTAATTTGGCATCCTGTGTTCTCTCTTCAGAAGGAAACTCCTAGCTGAAGCGGATTTTGATCCCAGTGATGCCAGTGTTCTTAGCTCCTTGTGGGGATGTAGGCCTGATCCCTTGGAGAGCCCTGTGGAGGACTCTGCCTCTGTTTCCTTACCTTACACGTTTCCGAAGGGTGATTCCTGTCCTGCAGGGAATGCTGTGAAGGAGTTCACTCTTTCACACCTCCCCTCAAATTCCATGTCCACCCGGGAACGTTTACTGACTCCTCCCCTAGGAAAGAAGGGAGTCTCAGCCACCACGAAGAGTCCCTTTGAAAGACCGCTATTCAGTTCCCATTTACAGAAGTCCTTTGTAAGTAGCAACTGGGCTGAAACACCGAGGGCAGAGAAAAGAAATGAAAGCCCTGATTTCCCAGGAAATGTTCTCACAAGCACGGCTGTGAAAGATCAGAATAAATATACCACCTCCGTAAATGACTTGGAAAGAGAACTCCAGGCTGCTTGCGAGATTGACAATTTTAACATAGATGACTTTGACGATGATGATGATGATGACTGGGAAAATCTGATGCAAAATTTAGCAGCCAACAAATCTTCCACAGCTGCCTACCCACCCATTAAGGAAGGTCGACCAGTTAAATCAGTGTCAGAAAGACCTTCTTCCGCCAAGACAGACTGCCTTCCAGAGGCATCTACCACTCAAAATAAAAACTTCTCAGAGTCAATTCCGAATTACCCTGGTAAGTTTACAATAAATGAAATGCTTATATTTTCTCTGACAACAAAATTGTCCAAAATAGGAATTGTACAAGAGAAACCATAGCAAATCATCATTGCCTGAGAATGACATTGTTTCTATGCAGATTTCTGCTGATAATATGAATTACAAATCACAATTTCAGGAGCAAGTTACTCTTTTGTCTGGGTACCAGCTGTAGTTTTATAAAATGTGTAATTATAACCTATTGTAGTAAAGCTCTAAAAGTCATTACAAATGTGCTTTGCCTTAAAATTAACATTTTTTAGTCCCTAAAACAATAAAGCTCATGAGGGCCAAGTTTTTAACAATTTGATAAAAAGCAAAGCTGAATTTATATGTTAAAAATGTCATTGTGTGTATTTTTAGAATCCTGAATTGATAAGAAATGATGTTTATAAAGCAGTAGAACAGGTTTTATGTCAAAATACTAAAATTTACGGCAACATAAGAAACCTAAGAAGTCAGAAATTTCTTAAAGTCAGTCAAATTATTTTTTTTTTTGGTCTAGGATCATTTTAATTCACTCAGCAAATATTTCCTGAGTGGCCACCCATGTGCCATGTGCTATGCTCAGGTCCTAGTGATGGATAATGAAGAGTTCCTGCCTGCTTGGAGCTCACAGTTTAGTGAGAGAACTTTTTGGAATAGTGAAATTAGCCATTGTAAAGGCTGCAGAGAAAAGCCAAAATTAATTTTAAAACCTTACATTAACCTTATAAAGTTATCAAAAGGTGGGTTTTTTTTAAGTTTGTGTGTGTAAGGTTTTGTAAAGTGCAGTCCTCCCTATTTTTGCCATTGATGACTTAATCCCACAGAGGTTGTTCTTGCAGCTATGCTGTTGACCTTTAAAATAACCGTTAATGGATTTATTCCTGTGTCATGTTTGAGTGTGTCATGCTTGGTATTCGCAGTTATCTTTGAGACGCTTGAGGGCTGGGTGACAGGAACTGCCAGAGCTGGAGTGAGCACCTCTCACACTGTGGCAGCCACCCAGAGTTGCGACCGCGAGGGGGCAGAAGCGGGGGCAGAGGCGAGTGACGCGATGGAGGGAGATTCATAGGGAGCTAGGATTGCTCTGAGCTTTCGGACCCGGTGACTGAGAAAGCTGTGACACCGTGAACAGAAAGAGAAGTCAGGAGGCAGAGGCACATTTGGAGCAGAGCTGAGGAGGGCTATTTTAAGGCTTGCTGAGCTTCAAGTGTTGGGAAGTCGTTCAGGCGGAAGTATCTTGCAGACAGTTGGAGGTGCGTGCAGCCCTGGGACTTAGGAGGGCGTCAGTCTAGGCTTGAGAAAGAGATCTGGGCATTCTGTGCACATCAGCGATGTTTAAGGTCAAAGGACTAGGAAAATTCCAATAAAGAATGTCTACTGAGCCCAGTCCCAAGTGTCAGAGACTCCCAAATTTCAGGGACAGGCGGAGGAAATGGAGCCAGGAAAAGGAAGTTAAAGTGAGTAGAAAACCCAGGACTGTCTTTTTTTTTTTTTTTTTTTTAAATATGTATGTATGTATTTGACTTCTGGATTTAGTGCCACACACAAACTCTTAGTTGAGGCATGTGGGATCTAGTTCCCTGACCAGGGATAGAACCCCGACCCCCTGCATTGGGAGCACAGGGTCTTAGCCACTGGAATACCAGGGAAGTCCCCCCATGATTGTCTTGAAGTTCAAAAGAGAAGGAGGAGAGAATATATAGGAGGGGTAGGTGCTGTTAAAAAAAAAAAAAAATCAAGGAAAGATTTGAACTTGACCCTTAGGAAGTCTCTGGTGGCCTTGACACTGGGCAGCAAGGAAACCCTGATGAACAGGTAAAGGAGGGTGTGCTATAGCAAACTGTGCTCCAGCGATTCTGCAGGGCAGTGGGTTAAAATGCTAAAGCGCATTGGTTACAATAACGCCCTGATTTCTCTTAACATTGATTATTTTCTTAGACAAGACGGAGCAGAATGTAGCATCCAGAAATCCGAAACACAAGCGTTTCCAAAGTCTTAATTTTCCTCATACAAAAGAAATGATGAAGATTTTTCATAAGAAATTTGGCCTGCATAATTTTAGAACTAATCAGCTAGAGGCGATCAATGCTGCACTGCTTGGCGAAGACTGTTTTATTTTAATGCCCACTGGTATGTATTTTTAGATATGAATTGGCAGGAATCCATTGGCAGATGTTAAATGAAAGCCCTTTAATAGAAATAAAAAGAACACCTACACCATATTTCTATCATTTAGGGGCCTCTAACCCTCCCATACCACAGTTGGGAAAGTATATTACTTCATATCCTCTGTTCTGGTTGTTGACATGATAACATTTATTGCCCTTTAAGATCCTCACCTCAAAGCTCATTGTGTTGAATTGATCGAGGATTTTCCTTTGGGAATTTTTCTTTTTTTCTAGTCTAAATTAGCCTGGAACAGGAACAAAAAAATTACTGTCAGAGACCACAACCACTTCTGGCAGTTTATTTGGCCCAACCTCGTGTGGCCTGGTGGTTGAAATCATTGGCTCTGGAGTGATGCCCTGGGCTCAAAGCACAGCTCTGCCACTTATTAACAGTGTGGCCGTGAGCAAGGCACTTCACCCCCTAAACCCAGGCTCCTCGTTTGTGCAGTGGGAATAATACCAAAGCACCCACTTCACAGAGCGTCATGAGGATTAAGTGAAAAGCCTGGAACATAGTTCTTGTCTTCAGTTTTGAAGAGATCCAAGACTTCATTGTGCTGTTTAAGTGTATAACAGCTGTTGAGTGATTTACAGTCATGCAAGTAAGAATATTAAATCAGCCATTAGGATAAGAAGCAGGGGAACATTGTAAATCACCTATGCTTCAATTAAAGAAAAGAAAGCAAGCAGCAATGTGGGAAGTTAGGGTTTCATTACTTACATCTAGTCTTCCCTTTGCCTCTTACTCGCCTTTGTTGTGACCTCCAGCAATCAGTTGTCCCCATCCTCATTAAATAGCATTGACTGGGCATCTGAATTTTCTCAAACTGACCTTACATTTTAGATGGTGTTGGTTTGTTTAGTCAGCAGCTTTCCATACTTTATTAACTTGTTGTTCAGTCTCTGTCTTCTGTTTTGACTCCAGTTTGGCACTGCAAAACTAAAACTGGAGAGGGAGGGCCCTGGCATTTGTCTCGTCCAACAACCTGAGGCATTGGCAATTCAGTGGTAGAATTCTCACCCTCCTCGTCCAGCAATTTTCATTCAAGGCTTTCTAAGACCTTCTAGGGTTTCAAGGGGGCATTTTTCAGGGTATTCTTCTCAAGTAGACTTTTAAAGTATTTCTGATGCATTTAAGTTTCCTGCCCTGATTCTTGCTTTTGCTATCATGTGTACCTATATAAGATTGTCCTAAAGATAATTTTTATGCATTTAAGTTGCCCACGTACTTTGGCTCATTCAAATATGGCATATTTTGGCACCATGGAGAATATCACTTGGTGTCCTATTAGTTAATTACTTTAAACTTTATATGTCATTTGCATTGTACATGTTGCCTTCATGCTCTCCACATAGAACTTGATGTTTTTGGTCATTCTCTTTAGGAGGTGGTAAAAGCCTGTGTTACCAGCTCCCTGCCTGTGTTTCTCCTGGGGTCACTATTGTCATTTCTCCCTTGAGATCACTTATAGTGGATCAAGTCCAAAAGCTGACTTCCTTGGATGTAAGTTAAAACACTACCAGTTATAATGAAAATACTAAGAATAGCATAACTTAAAAACAGTTATATTTTAGTACTCTGCGTAACCTTTTTTATTAAATAGTTCATGAACTATAAGACTGAAGCACAGCAGTTATATTAGGTTGTTGCATTTAAGTACAAGTCTTTGGAAATTCTGGTACAGATGACTTTCTAGAGTTCAATCTGGTTTTACTCTGTAAGAATGCATTTTAATAAGAACCTTTAACCTGTATTGCTGATGTAAATTTGTTTTTTCTAATATGGAAGGATTTTTTTTTTTATACTACTGTCATATTGGCTTAGTTCTCACTCCCTTAATATCTTAAAATGCACACATATGTGCATGCCCACACACATATGTCCTTTTTCCTCCTGGCTGAGGTTAAGAAAAGTTTATGAATGCAGTCTATTAAATCCTGCATACTGTGATCAAACAGAACTCTTCTTGGGGTTATGAACCATCACCCCTCAACAAGACCACTGGTTTGATTTTTCTTCCCAAAGATGTCTCAGTACAGAGATGGTAGCCATTGTTCAGCCATTCATGAGGGTTGTGGTCCTTTTAGTGTCGTTGTCCATTAAAACCCAAAAGATGCATTTACCTGAAAAAAAAACATGGCCATACATTAGAATTGGAATCTCCTAGATGCTGAGTTCATATTTATCTTCCTTACAAATCTGAAAAGCTTTTAAAAAAGTAAAGAAACAGGGAAAAAGAAAAGGAAATAAACAGTGAGAAGACCATTTGACTTATGGTTAACAAGGATTTTTTAAAAATATGTACTGATTATTATGTTGAGATTCTCTTTCCTTTGACAGGTTTGATATGACTTATTAAATATTTATAAAACCTAAAGATAAATGTAAGCTTGAGTCAGATTAATGTGTAAAATTTAAATTGTTTACTACTTTTATGCTTAGATCCCAGCTACATATCTGACAGGTGATAAGACGGACTCAGAAGCTACAAGTATTTACCTCCAGTTATCAAAAAAAGACCCAATTATAAAACTTCTGTATGTTACTCCAGAGAAGGTTTGTATTTCTATCATTTTAAAATATGATATTACAAACTGCCATATGACCCAGCAGTCCCACTCCTGGGCATACACACCAAGGAAACTAGATCTGAAAGAGACACGTGCACCCCAGTGTTCATCGCAGCACTGTTTATAATAGCCAGGACATGGAAGCAACCTAGATGCCTATCAGCAGATGAATGGATAAGGAAGCTATAGTATATATACATGATGGAATATTACTCAGCCATTAAAAAGAATTCATTTGAATCAGTTCTAATGAGATGGATGAAACTGGAGCCCATTATGCAGAGTGAAGTAAGCCAGAAAGATAAAGACCAATACAGTATACTAACGCATATATATGGAATTTAGAAAGATGGTAACGATAACTTTATATGCAAAACAGAAAAAGAGACACAGATACACAAAAAAATAAATAAAATAAAATATGATATTGCAGCTATTTTAGAAAAACAAGTTCTCCTTACCGAGTAAGGAAATACTGAGTCTTTCCCTCCTGTGTTTCTCTCCATTACTTCTCACATAGAATATTACACGCTAGTCATCAAATGTACACAGGTCTTTGCTTCCATCAAGTGGTCCTCTGTGACACCAGTTAGGGGTCCTACAGTTTAACTCAAATTTGACACTACCTACCCAGAGATAGTGTCAGACCCCACAGGTTAAGGGCTCAGTCCCTCGAGATTACCACCCTGCTCAAGGTGGCAAGCCACAGGTTACCCACAACTTCCGTCTGACTTGGCTGCAAATCTGAGGTTCCTGTGACCTCCTGCTTGAATTCAGTGACTTGCAAGAGCAGCTCACAGAACTCAGGGAGACACTTACCTACATTCACCAGTTTACTGAAGGCTGTGGTAAAGACCTTCAGATAAACAGGCAGATGAAGAGGTATACAAGGCGGGTCCTGAGCACAGGAGCTTCTGTCCCTGTGGAGTTGCAGTCTGTCAGCCCCCAAGCACGTGGATGTGTTTGCCAACCTAGAACTTCTCTGAAGCCCATACTTCTGGAATTTCGTGGAGGCTTCCTCACGTAGGCATGATCAGTTATAGTCTCCATTTCTACACTGACTCCCTTCGCTGGAGGATGGGAGAAAGACTCAAAATCCTAAGCTTTTTATCCTGGCGTAGTCTTTCTAGTGACCAGTTCCCACCCAGGAGCCCAACCAGAGTTGCCTGAGTAGGACCAAAGGTGCTCCCAGTGCTCTTGTTTAGTCGCTCAGCCGTGTCCAACTCTCTGTGACCCCATGGACTGCAGCCCACCAGGCTCCTCCGTCCGTGGCATTTTCCCAGACAAGAGTACTGGAGTGGGTTGCCATTTCCTCCTCCAGGGGATCTTCCTGACCCAGGAATTGAACCCTTGTCTCCTGAATTGTAGATGGATTCTTTACCACTGAGCCATCAGGGGAGCCCCAGTGCTCTAACCATGTAAGAATTTACAAGGGTTTCAGGAACCCTATTTCAGGAACTGGGAGCAGGGACCAGTTTATTTTTTCTGTTATCTCATTAAAGCCCACTAAAATACATATGTTTTTAAATTTTTGACATAATTTCTGATGCATTTAGTGTAAGAATTCCTCTATAACTTTCATTGAGAAACCCACATGGTAACATTTTATTGTAACTGCTCTATCATTCTTTCTCAGTTTTTCCTTAAACATTTCAGAGTAAGTTGCAGACATGATATCCTTTCAACCCTAAATACTTCATTGCATGTCCTAAACACAAAGAATTCTCAGTACAATTAACAAAATTGGAAAATATTAATTGCTGCAATACTGCTACTTTATGAAACCTTATTCTAATTTCACTAGTTATCCCAATAATATCCTTTATAGCAAAAGAGAATCCTAGATTATCCACTTTCTTCATGTCTCTTTAAACAATTTCTGTCTTTTATTATCTTGACAGCTGAGTGAAAGCCAGTTGTGGACTGTCACACAATTTGATTTTATATTTCCTCTTGATTAGATTTGCATTGTTCATTTTGGGGGAATATCACAGAAGTGGTGATATGTTCTCAGTGCAGCCTATCAGGAGGCATTTGTCAATTCATTCTGTTATTGGTATTGTTAACTTCGATCACTTGGATAATATGGTGTCTGCCAGATTTCTCCACTGTAAAATTACTTTTTTTGTTGTTAATTATTCATTACAAGAATAAATATAATTTTTTTTGTAATTGTAGATCTGTTATTGTGGAATATTCTGAAACTGTAAATATCCTATGTCTCATGAGACTTTGACTTGAGTTTTACTGTCCCCACCAGTTGTTATTGTAGTGGGTGCCAAGTGATGATTCTTCTAATTTAATTGGTATTCTTCTGTAAAGACAAGCTTTCCATTTTACCCACATATTTATTTATAGCAATATGAAATTATGAATTCTTAAGTTAATCAGTGGGTTATAATCAGTTACCATTGTGCGTTTTGATGTTTTAATTGTCCTAGGTTTGGCCAGTGGAAAAGCTCCATCACACTGGCTTCTGTGTCCTTCCAACATGTCTGTCAAGACGTGGATGCCAGATATGGTCATTGCTACTGGGATGTTATTGTTTCTAGGCCCGGTTATGGACGGAGCTGTGAAATACACGTACATACAGGCTTGTATGTACAAGCCATGTATATATAGGCTTCCCAGGTAGCACAGTGGTAAAGAATCCTCCTGCCAGTGCAGGAGACATGAGACGTAGTTTCAATCCCTGGGTCTCGAAGATCTCCTGGAGGAGGAAATGGCAACCCACTCCAGTATTCTTGCGTGGAAAATCCCATGGACAGAGGAGCCTGGTGGTCTACAGTCCATGGGGTCACAAGTTGGACTTGACTGAGCATGCACACATGTGTGTATATATTGTACATATGTGTGTATATGATTCCCCCAAACAACATGCACACATGTAACACATGTCTGTAACCCTGTCACCAGTGTAAACGTGTGTGGCTCCCAGATACACTGAGGCAGAAAAATTGTTTTAGAAGCACTGACCTAATACATAACTGTTTGCTAAATGTGGGTGAACATTTTAGAGTGTCTTATCTGCTATTTTCTATTACTTTTTCTAATTCAGTTCGTAGATTGAAATCAGAACCAATTTTATGTAGTTTTAATGCAACTTAAGTCACAGTGAAACTTAAAGACAACCAGATCCTTATGGTGATGTGTTTAAATGGTTTCAAATGTCTGACTAACATACTTCCCGTCTAGGTCTGTGCGAGTAACAGGCTGATCTCTACTCTGGAGAATCTATATGAGAGAAGGCTCTTGGCACGTTTCGTCATTGATGAAGCGCACTGTGTGAGTCAGGTAAGTACCATTCTCCTATGTCTTGACATACCAGTAAATACATACCGCCGACAGTAGATCTTGAGTGCCAAGAAGAAAAAATATTGATTGAATTATTCTGCTATTTCACTGAAGAATAATGTGATTCTTAATATGTGTATTAAGTGTATGCTTTATATAAAGAAGATCCAAGTAGTCTAAAAAGCAGTAGTGTTGTTTTTTTTTCCCAACTAGTGGGGACATGATTTTCGTCCAGATTACAAAAGAATGAATATTCTTCGCCAGAAGTTCCCTTCTGTTCCAGTGATGGCTCTCACTGCCACAGCCAACCCCCGGGTACAGAAGGACATACTCACTCAGCTGAAGATTCTCAGGCCTCAAGTGTAAGTTGTCAGAAGTTATTCATTTTAAAACCTGGGGGCTGTGGTTCCCCAGTTGTTGCACAATAGGATCACTTGTGGAGCCTTCAAAAATCCCAGTGCCCAGGGTACGTGCGTGGTAAGTCACTTTAGTCGTCTCCAACTCTTTGCGACCCTGTGGACTGTAGCCCGCCACGCTCCTCTGTCCATGGGACTCCTCAGGCAAGAGTACTGGAGTGGGCAGCCGTTTCCATCTCCAGGGTGTATTTCCATCTCCGATGCCAATTACATCAGGATTTGAGGAGCTGGGAGCCAGTATGTATTGTTGTTGTATTTTAAAAAATTTTTTAAATTCCCAGGTGATTCCAATGTGCATCAGAATTTGGGAACCAAGACCCTGGGGCTTTTATTCAATCACTGAAATTAAAACTTATCCAAGTACCAATTTTGGAAGTAGGGATAAAGTGCATGCCATACCTTTTAAACCTTAGGATGGTCTCAGTAATAAATTAGCTTTTATTTTATTTTGGCACCTGTGTAACCTAGAACAGGGGACCCCAGCCCGGGACCACAGACTGCTACTGGGCTGTGGCCTGTTAGGAACTAACAGGCTGCATAGCAGGAGGTGAACTGTGGGCAAATGAGCAAAACTTCATCTGTATTTACAGCCGCTCCCCATCGTTCCCTTTACCTTCTGGGCTCCACCCCCTGTCAGATCAGCAGCAGCATAATAAATGTAATGCACGTGAATCCTGAAACCATCCCCCACCCCCCAGCTCCTGTGGAAAAATCGTCTTCCAAGAAACCAGTCCCTGGTGCCAGAAAAGTTGGGTGGGGACTGCTGTCGTAGAGTGTATGTAATGAAAGGGATAGACAATACTGCTCTGTCATTTTCCTCTGAAGTCCCAGCTCTATCCAGGATGTTGAAAATAGTCCAGAAAGTATATGCAGCAGCTTTGTTTTTACTTTGTTTTCATCTCAACAGCAACGTGCTTCTTCTTGCCACCAAATCCATAACTATTCAATAACAAAAACTTATAAGAAAACGTCCCCAGTATAGGTTGCACTGAGTTGTTTTGTACCTCTGTATGACTTTGTAAAGACAAGTACATTCCCTGACAGGTTCCATTTACTCAGCAAACATTTACTTAAACAACTGTTGTCTACCAAGGTTAAAATATTTTTTCCTTCTGATTTATTAGTGGGTGCTTTGAGATTGAGGAATATCTGAGGGAATAATGGCTGCTAATGTATTGGGGTGAATTTTTAAAGCTTGGCTCACTTGGAAATAAAGAAAATAAGCTGGCTCTATAAATATTATGATCAGTAAAGACAACAGCAGCATTTTGGTGGATTATGAGAAGAGCTCTATGAGTGCCATATGTGGGGACAGATGTGAAGGTGGTATTAGTCACTCAGTCGTGTCCGACTCCTTGCAATTCCATGGACTGTAGCTGGCCAGGCTCCTCTGTCCTTGAAATTCTCCAAGCAAGAACACTGGAGTGGGTAGCATTCCCTTCTCCAGGGGATCTTCCCAACCCAAGGATCGAACCTAGGTCTCCTGCATAGCAGGCAGATTCTTCACCATCTGAGCCAGGAGGGAAGCCCTAGTGTGAAGGGATTTGAGATTAAGATAGCTTCAGAGACCTTTTGCAGATTAAACTGGCATTCATAAGCCCAAGAATTTTAGAGTCTTCAGAATTTTGTGCAGGTAATCCAAAAAACTGGATTGCAGTATTTTAATTTCACTTGCAGAGGAGTGTTTATAAAATTTGGGAGAAAAAAGATCATTTCTTCCATAATTGATTTATATTACAACATTTTATATTTAAGATGTCTTATAAGTTTAGGTTCTAGTGAAGAACCCACATGCTAGAAATTTGCTTCTGCGAGTCTTCCACTGGTTTATAAAATCCTTTTTAAAAATAGGCAGTGTTTTTAGCATTTTTCCATCAATAGATACCAGATGCAATCTACTGTTCTTTTAAATCAGTAATATTAATTGCCAAATGCCCATAATTAAGAGAAGTGATGCAAATTCAATTCACCTTTTGAATAGCTTTTTGGAAGTATCAAATCTGTCCTTTTTGAGTAAGCATTGCATATATAGGCTCAGAGGCAGACACCTGTAATATGTTCTCCCAAGGATGTGTGGGAGAGATCTTAGAAAAGTCATGGATTGCACATTCCCTGAGTCTAGCGTGTGATGCCCTGTGTATACTTGGCACTCGGTAAGAATGAATAAATGAAACATATGGAAGAATTTTGGTAAATGTGGGTAAAATATGAAAATTTGGGCAGGTCTGTTGACTCCTTTAATATATTTGGTGCTTCTATATTTGGGAGAATTTAAATCCCTGAGTTGAAACTAAAAGATTTAACCAACACTTTCTGTTACTTTTTTTTTTTCCGGATCTTCTTTTCTGCCCATACACCCCTTGTTTGGATTAAATTTCCCCACTGCTGTGGTGCCATGGCCCTGGTGAAGACAGGTGCCCCTAGGGCTGAAGCCACGGTCGCTGCTCTTCTCTCCTACTGCCAGTCTATGATAACATTCTTCGTCTTTGGGAAATATGAGGAGGGAAATAAAATTGATGGGCTTTATTCCTTTTCTTCAGGGCCTTATAATATGAACTGAGAAAGAAAAATAAGAGGTAGACATTTATGTAGTTAGTATAACAAAGAATACTGTTTCTCTTTCAATTTCCCCATAGAATTTTACCCTAAGGTAATGTATTTTTATGACTGAAGTCTTATTGCTTACTCTGTCATATTTACCTGAAAGAAAAACATATATAAATTAATTGGTTTTTTTTAATTTCCTATAGTAAAATTTTTTTTTCCCACTCTAAAATTTTCTTCCTAACTGAACAAATGAATTATATATAACATTAGTGGTACATGACTGATCAGAACAGCTTTAAATACATTTTTGAAAATAATTCTTAGGGATAAATTTTGATGTGGAATGTGTAACTTAATGAGCTAGGACTTTTTCTCAGTACATTTATCTATGGATCAATCAAGTCAGTTCATATTTCTTATTTTTAGAGGTATATTTTATAGCATTGAGAAATGTTGCTCATATAAGCATGTAGATAGGAATGGAAAGCATTTTATTCTAGCATTAATGCTCAGTTATTTGAATTCCTTCTGGTATGTATGCCAAAATTATATAATGATATGTCATCAAAAATTATTTGTAATGATCTCTCAGCTGACATCTCAGTTAAGTCCTCCAAATTTTGTGAAAAGGAAAGAATTCGGAACCATCTGACTGGCAAAATAAGTCAGATGATTAGTTATTCACTTTACTTTTACTGGGAAATACACCTTTAAAAATATGCTTTACCAAACTTTTCTAATGGCTGTTAGATATCCTTGTTACTCTTTTCATTCGAATGATTCATTTATCCAGGAGTTGGGGAAATCAAAATACTATAAGCTTCAGTACATCTTTTCTAGTATATTTTTGACATATGTTTTTATTCTGTGATATGCTTTTAAATAATAGTTTTGTCAGAACTTTACGACTGCCAATTAGCTCTTTCAAACGAGACATGACTAGCGTGAAACCTAATTGTCAAAGCCAGTTTTCATTGTCAAAACAATTGGCCAAATTAAACTTATTTTCTTATATAAAAAAAAAAATTCTGACTTTGTTTTTCAAGTCACATGAACTACTTAGTACGCATGCCCATGAAGGTGCCTCAGTTCCAAAAGCAACAAGAGCTGAGCACAAATTGATTCCATTTCCTAACATCACTTAGAATGACTAGAGCTTGACACCCTGGACCTAATAATATTTACCATTTCAGTGTGAACACCAGTATTCCCTTGGTGGAAGATATTTTGGGATCCAAAGCTTTTTAAAAAAAAAAATATTGAGACACATTTGACACACCACCGAATTCACCCATTTAAAGGTTAGAATTTACTGGTTTGTTTGTACTTTCACGGGTTGTGCACCCATCCCCCGAATCTAAGTTTAGAACATTTTTATCACCCCAAAAAGAAACCTAGTGCTCAGTAGTCACCACCCATTCTCTCCTTCCTGTTTCTGCCCAGCTTCTTTCACTTAACATGTTTTCAGGGTTCATCTATGTTGTAACATATATCAGAATTTCATTCCTTTTAAAAAAAAAATTATTTATTTAACTGCACTGGCTCTTAGTTGCAGTATACAGGATCCAGTTCCCCAATCAGGGATCAAGCCCAGGCCCTCTGCATTGGGAGCATGGAGTTTTAGTCAGTAAACCACCTGAAATCCCTTCATTCCTTTTTATGGCTTAACAATCTTTGTAATAGGCATTTCACATTTATTTATCCACTTATCAATTGATGTGAACTCTAATTAGAATATCTGTTATTTCCAAACATCCCATTTCCAACAAGCCAAGTAAGATTTGTTATATGTAATGAACTCTTTAAGAGATTTAACTTTTTCATTATAACAAATTGTGTGAATACAGTGGACCCTTGAGCAACATGGGTTTGAACATAGGCATAGTAATCGTCCTCTACATGTTTTTGTGTGTACCTGTGTTTTAATTTCTCTTGGGTATATCCCCAGGAGTGGAATTATTGCGTCATATTGTAACTATTTTTTAACCTTTTGAGAGCTTTCGAAAGTGGCTGCACCATTTTTCATTCCCACCAGTGATATAGTGAATTCTGATTCCACCAGAATGTGCTTTTGTCTCCCCTTTTTTGACCCAAAACTTTTTTGTTTAATGCATAAAACACTGTTCTGAAATTAAAGTGTAGTGTAAAATGTAGGGGAAATCAGTAAGGCCATTCTTGTGTATAATCCTTTCAGCATTCCTATCAGTAGGGAGACTCATGTACCATTCCCAGCTTAAGCCCAAATCATATCAAGTTTTTAAATTATCTACATCATTTGTATTCCTGGGCGATTCTTTTTATGCCTAAATTTTATCAGGACTGCCATTTCCTTTGCTGTGGCAGTGATTATAAATAATTAATTGAGATCAAAATAGTCTATGGGTGTATCAAGTCTCTCATCTACCGTCTTGCTGCAGTATGCCACACATTCTTCTGCCATCTCAAGCACTAAAAGATCTCTTAGTGTTTTGTACATATACATGATGTCTTAAGTGGGATGGTTTCACAGTATTGTTTAGCAGTCATCTCATAAGACGTTGTGCATAATGCATTTCATGACAATAGGAATGAAAGAAGCCAGTTTCATAAAGTGAGCATCAACTTCTCTCCCGCCACCTTCCTGTCAGTATATCTGAAATCAGATCATCCCAATAAAAGCCAGAATACTTTTTTCCTGATGTTTTACTTTACTCTTAACAGAAATGTGTAAAGCACTGAGAGACAGGAAGCCCTACCTGGGGTCTCTGGTACTTGGATTAGAGAAGGTTGTGCTTACACCCATACTACATTTCAGTCGTTTTGTTTGGAGGTTTTTACATCTGGAACAATGTACATGGTAAAATTTAGAATGGGTGAAAAGTAAAGTTTGTTTTTCAAAAGTGAGAGACAGTTGTAAAAGGGAAAAAATGGTGCAGGAGTATTGAGCAGAAAGGGCTTCCCTAGTCGCTCAGCAGTAAAGACTCTGCCTGCCTTGCAGGAGATTTGGGTTCTATCCCTGGGTTGGGAAGGTTCCCTGGACAAGGAAATGGTAACCCACTCCAGTATTCTTGCCTGGAGAATCCCATGGACAGAGGAGCCTGGTGGGCTACAGTCCATGGATTCGCAAAAAGAGTCAGACACAACTTAGCAACTCAACAACAATGAGCAGAAAGTCCTGATTACCAGCATTCTCAGATCCATCTTTTCTTGTTTGTCTTTAATATTTGTTTATATATTTGGCTGTGTCCGGTCTTCATTGTATCATGCAGGATATTTTGTTGTGGTGTGCTGGGGCTCAGTAGTTGCAGCTCAAGGGCTTAGTTGCCCCACAGCATGTGGGATCTTAGTTCCCCCACCAGGGATTGAACCCATGTCCCCTGCATGGGAAGGCAAATTCTTAACCACTGGACCACCAGGGAGGCCCCTCAGATCCATCTTTTAGGGGAAAATTCATACATGTGAAAACAGAATCTGGAAATTGATTCCTGTAAGATTATCTTTGCTCATGTACCTTTAGACAGTCTTTGTGAACTCCTAGCGGTATGTGTACCCCAAATTTAGACCACTGATTTGGAAGAAGTTGAACTGTGGTTTAGAACTCTGAAAAGAGGTCTAAGGTGGGAGTGAAGTTGGAACTCACAGGTATATTTGGATGCTGTTTAAAGCAGTGAGAGTGCAGTCCCTGAAGAGGATAATACAGGGGAAGAAGGAAAGAGCCAAGCGTTTTGGGAGCTGATTCTCCTGTAAGTGGGGAGAAACCCCACGGGTGTGAGAGCTGATAGAGGTTTTGGCAAGGCTAGCAAACAGCAGAGAGTGACCAGGAAAGGTAAGAGAATGAGGTCTGACAGACCAGGGCAGGTACCAGATGCAGTTGATTTCTGCCGCCTGCTGCGTGACCACCTTATCTGCATAGTGGTCCCCTCAGGGACATGCGTGCCTCACATGTGAAGCATTCTTTAGTCCTAAAATTAAGTGTTTATCTTGATGTCAATGGCAACCAAACCTGGACCCATCTAGCTTGAACTTAGATAGAAAGACAGAAAGGCAGTGTTTTTAGTCCCCGTCTTTCCTTCCTCTGATCCCTACCCACTGTGTATAGACTACCTCCTTACCACAGGTTATTGCAGTTCACGATCTTCGTTCCCTTCCATCCACCCAGGCACTGAGATGTCTTCATTCTCTAACCATAACTCCTTAGTTCATTTTCTCACTCCTTCCAGGAGCCATGTTGGAACCTGGTGCAGATTCAGGGTCTCCCCAGGGCCAAGGACCCTATAACAATTCCATCATCCTTCTCCAGTTTCTCAAAGTTCTGATAAAGCAATTTTGGTAGAATGGTAATGCCAAAAGCCAGTTGGTTGGGCGAACAAGAGGATTCTGAGAAACCTGCCTTTGGAGGGAGAGAACAAAGTGGGACACCAGCTGCAGTGGAACGTACCAAGGGTCAAGAGAAGCTTTTGTTGTTTTCAGGATTGGAAGGTCCAGGTACATACACAGAGATAAAAGGGAAGAGGTTACAGAAGAGACTAAAGCACAAGAAAGAGATAATGGAAAGGTAGAGCTCACAAAGCAGATAGGGGACGTGGGGGACCAAGAGCGAAAGCCAGAGGATGAAGAGCACAGAGCAAAGGGCAGTGATCAGGGTCTGCAGCCTTCACCTCCTGGGGCCTTGCAGCCAGCTCTCCACTCTTGGTGTGTGTGCATGCCTAGTCACTTCAGTTGTGTCTGACTCTGCCACCCCATGGACAGTAGCCTACCGGGCTCTTCTGTCCATGGGGTTCTCCAGGCAGGAATACTGAAGTGGGTTGCCATGCCCTCCTTCGGGAGATCTTCCGACCCAGGGATCAAACCCACGTCCCTTGGCATCCCCTTCACTGGCAGGCAGGTTCTTTGCCACTAGCACCACCTGGGAAGCCCCCACTCTTCTGTGCAGTTAGAATTGGGGGATGTTGGTAGCCTAAAGTTATGTATGGTTTCTCTATGAATTTCTTCATCTTTTCAATAATGTTTTAACCATCTCTGCTTTTAATCTACCTTGTTTTTGGAAACTGGGCTCCTGTCTTTTCTGCATATTTTTTTCTTTTGCCATCCTTCTGATTGTCATCGAGAACCGTAGACATACCCTCCTTATCACCATTCTTAATCTTTAACCTAACTTCCAGCTGTGTTTTATGTAAGTTGCCAGTAGTTATATTCACTTTAAGACAACTTGATGATTAGGTTTGCATTATAGAAAACCAGTGCTTAATTTTTTTTATAATTTTGTTCATTTACTTATTTTGGCTGTGCTGGGTCTTTGTTGCTGTGAGAACTTTTCTCTAGTTTTGGGGAGTGGGGGCAACTCTCTAGTTGTGGTATATGGGCTTCTCATTGCAGTGGCTTCTCGTGGAGCTCGGGTTCTAGGGCGCTTGAGCGTCAGTAGTTGCAGGTTCCAGGCCCTGGAGCATAGGCTCAGTAGCTGTGGCGCACAGGCTTGGTCTCTCCGAAGCATGTGGGATCTTCTGGACCAGGGATCACACCCGTGTTTCCTGCATTTGCAGGTAGATTCTTTACCACTGAGCCACCAGGGAAGCCCAATCAGCGTTCAGTTTTTGAAGGTGGCTAAACCTGTATTTTCTCATAATAGTGAAATTTTATGTTTCTGACTTCTTTTAGGTTTAGCATGAGCTTCAACAGACACAATCTAAAATACTACGTGTTACCCAAAAAACCTAAAAAGGTGGCATTTGATTGCTTAGAATGGATCAGAAAGCATCACCCATGTGAGTACAGCCTTGTGATGAATTATGTCTAGAAATGATAAATAAATGTCTTTTTAGTACCACAGTTGAATATATAAAATCACGTATTAAGCATTTCTTTTCTCATCATGGTAGCACTAACTTACTGTTTATAGCGCAGAATATTGCAGCTCTCTCAGTTCTGAAAATTAGAAAATCTCATTTGGCTTGCTGGCAATAACCCCTAATAAAAAGCATATTAAATACCCCCTCCTACACACCTGTATTATTCGTGGTTCCAGTCTTTTCTTCTGACTGCTAACAGTGTGTGAATTATGCAGCTCTGTTCTAGTGCCTTCTCCCAGGTGTGTCTGCCTTTGAGTCCTGTTAACTAAAATGAGATTCTGAAATTCATGGTAGCTTTCCATGTAACCTCTTAGCTACTTTTCCATGGAGCATTTGTTGTTGTTGTTGTTAAACATCTCTATTTTATTATTTAAAATTAGTATACACATTTGTTTCAGTAAATCAAACAATACAGAGATAGGTCAAGGAAAAAGTAATTTCCTTTTCCATCCCACCCCCCACCACCCACCACCCAGGGAGCTAATATAAATAGCCTTGTGTGTGTATCTGTATCTTTGGCTCTTCCACAGAGAGGTGTCTTTTTCTTTACTGCCTTTTATTTTCCAATTTTTAAAAATAACATGCATACAAATGGCAGTAAATATAGTGAAGAGAATTTAGAAAGGAAGGAAAGAAAGAATCAAAAGACAAACCTTATCATGGGACAAGTTAAGGCACTCTTACCATTGTGGCTTATTTCCTTCCGGTAATGTTTGTGTGTTTTTCTCTCCATTAGCCCACTGTATATACAGTGTTTGCTCCCCTTTACCTCTTAAATCTTAAACATGTTCTCATGTCTTTTTAAAAAACTTAGAAAACACTGAATGGTTGCTTATAATTTTCTTTCTTAATTATGTCCTATGTGGGCCCTTAAAATTTTTTTTTAATCTTAAAAACTATAGAGCCTTCCCTGGTGGTCCAGTGGTTAAGAGTCTGCACTTCCACCTGCAGGGGGCCAGGGTTCAATCCCTGGTTGGGGAACTAAGATCCTGCTTGCTGCACAATGCGGCCAAAAATTGTAAACAAAACTTCTTAAATAAGTCCTTGGGTCACTTTATTTCTTTGATTTGTTTCCCAGAAGGAAACTGAGTCAAAAGGAAGGAGAATTTCTAAGGCTCTTGATACATATTACTGTATGCTTTCTACAAAGTCTGTGTAGGAGTGCCTTCCTCGTGTATAGCCAGTGAGAAACAGAGCCAGGCTGCCTCAGTGCATTTGGGGGAACAGGACTGCGAGTCAAATCTTGTCTTTGCAGCGCGTGTTGTTGCTTGATTTATTCTACCTGTGTGACTCTCCTCAGCTGTCAGAAAACTGAAGGTCTCTTCACAGTTCAGACAGTTCTAAGAACACCATGTAAGTTACCTCGTTGTTTATGTTACATGTCCTCATTTCACAAGACTGTTTTGGTTTCTTGGCAGATGACTCAGGGATAATTTACTGCCTCTCCAGGCGAGAATGTGACACAATGGCTGAAACATTACAGAAGGATGGCCTTGCTGCCCTGGCTTATCACGCCGGCCTCAGTGACTCCGCCAGAGATGAAGTACAGCACAAGTGGATTAATCAGGATGGCTGCCAGGTAACATCTCTTAACATAAAGGAAACAATATTTTACAGTATATAAGCCACCTTGGATGGAAAATTGTTTTTACCTTAAAGGTGAAAGTGAAAGTGAAGTCGCTCAGTCATGTCCGACTCTTTGCGACCCCATGGACTGTAGTCTGCCAGGTTCCTTCGTCCTTAAGGGTAGTAAGCATCAAAATAAGGCGGATTTAAAAGGCGATCTTTGAGACATCTAAAGTTGCTTTTTCTTTCTTAAATAAAAAAAAAAAATTTATTGGGATGTAATTCACATACCATAAAATTCTCCCTCCCAAAGTTTACAAGTCAGTGGTTTTTAGTATATTCACAAAGTTGTGCAACCATTACCACTGTCTAATTCCAGAACATTCCATCATCCCAGAAAGAAACCACATATCCACTAGCCATTGCTCCCCACACCCCCAACCCCCAGTTCACTAATCTATTAACTACTATTAATCTGTCTCTGTAGAGTTTCCTATCCTGGACATTTCATACAAATAGAATCATACAGTATGCATTCTTCTGTGACAGATTTGTCTTACTTCGCATGTTTTCGAGATTTATCCACATTGTAGTATGTATCAGTACTTGACTCCTTTTTGTGTCTAGATAACATTCCATTGTATGAGATACTACATTTGTTATCTATTCATCAGTTGGAAGACATCTGGGTTGTATCCACTGTGTAACTCTTGTGAATAATGCTTCTGTGCAAGTTTTTGTGTAAACATATGTTCAGTTCTGTTGGGTAAATACCTAGGAGTGGAGGGACTTCCCTGATGGTACAATGGATAGCAATCCACCTGCCAGTCAGGGGACACAGGCTCCATCCCTGGTCTGGGAAGAGTACACATGCCTCGGAGCAGCTAAGCCCAGGCACCACAACTACTGAGCCTGTGCTCTAGGGCCCGCAGACTGCATCTCCTGAAGCCCTCGAGCCTAAACCTGGGCCCTACAACCACAGTGAGTAGCCCAAGCACCACAACGAAGGCGAGCCCTTGCTCGCCACAACTAGAGAACACCCGAGCACAGCAACAGGCCTAGCACAGCCGAAAGTAAATAATTAATTAATTTATTTATAAATAAGTAAATACCTAGAAGTAGGATTGCTTAGTCATATGGAAATTCATTGTTTAACTCTTTAAGAAACTCTCTGTTTTCCAAAGCAGTTATAAAGTTATACATTCCAGCAATGTATGAGGTTCCAATGCCTCCACCTCACCAACACTAATTATTGTCCTTTTTTTTTTTACTATATCCATCCTGGTGGGTGTAAAGTGGTATCTCATTGTGATTTTATTTGCATCCCCTAATAACTAGTGATGCTGAGCATCTGCTTCTGACAGATTTGTCACCCACGTGGATCAAGAAAGAAGCCGAGAACACTCTAGGCACCCCACACTGTCCCTTGGATAGACCCCTCTAGACACAGGATGAATCCGAGAATGACTAAACTTTTTTTTTTGGAGCCCATGAAATTTTCAGTTCATAAGAAAAGAAATCATTACTCTGAAGATTCAGAAAGAAAATAACTTTTGAAATTATTTTCTGAGGGAAAATAAAAGGAAGACTTAGAGGATATCAACTTAATATACTTAGGAAGATTTAAAAAGACTTGTATGAACTAGGAACAGTTTACCATAAGAAGATGATATGAAAAGGCTGACATGAAGGGAAAAATTAAAATTCCATATATGCAAACAAAATGCAAGAAAAAACAAAACAAATAGAATTATATGTCAAGAGACGCATGGTTCAATTCAATGCAGACATTTGAATCAATGATGTAGTGAATAACTTGAGAGTGTAAAGGGGAAAAAAAACATGAAAATTGAAGGAATATAAAACAAAAAAATTGGGGTTATTTTGCCAAACAGAAAAATGTTTAGCAACAGGGAGTAATGTTCAGCCTAAAAATAATAAGTATACCCAAGAATGAAATTGGGAGAGTTGAGATTGATAGAATAGTCAAATGTATTATAAATAAATAAGAAACTAAGAGTCATCTCAGAATCACTGGGGAAAAACTTAGATGTAGACATAGTTCAGAATATTTGTTTGATTTACAAAGTTGTAAGAAATTGTGGGCCTTAGGAAACATCACTACAAACAAAGCTAGTGGAGGTGATAGAATTCCAGTTGAGCTATTTCAAATCCTAAAAGATGATGCTGTTAAAGTCCTGCACTCAAGATGCCAGCAAATTTGGAAAACTCAGCAGTCACCACAGGACTGGAAAAGGTCAGTTTTCATTCCAATCCCAAAGAAAGGCAATGCCAAAGAATGCTCAAACTACNAAGTTGTGACCAACCTAGATAGCATATTAAAAAGCAGAGACATTACTTTGTCAACAAAGGTCCGTCTAGTCAAGGCTATGGTTTTTCCAGTAATGTATGGATGTGTGTGTGTGTGTGTGTTAGTCGCTCAGTCGTGTCCGACTCTTTGCGACCCCATGGACTGTAGCCCACCAGGCTCCTTTGTCCATGGGATTCTCTAGGCAAGAGTACTGGAGTGGGTTGCCATTTCCTTCTCCATTTACATTACTGGAAGAAAATGATATATGCTTTTCAGATTATAAAAGTATGGATGTGAGAGTTGGACTGTAAAGAAAGCTGAGTGCAGAAGAATTGATGCTTTTGAACTGTGGTGTTGGAGAACACTCTTGAGAGTCCCTTGGACTGCAAGGAGATCCAACCAGTCCATCCTAAAGGAAATCAGTCCTGGGTGTTCATTGGAAGAATTGATGTTGAAGCTGAAACTCCAATACTTTGGCCACCTGATGCGAAGAGCTGACTCATTTGAAAAGACCTGATGCTGGGAAAGATTAAGGGCAGGAGGAGAAGGGGACGACAGGATGAGATGGTTGGATGGCATCACCGACTCAAAGGACATCAGTTTTGGTGGACTCCGGGAATTGTTGATGGACAGGGAGGCCTAGCGTGCTGTGGTTCATGGGGTCGCAAAGAGTTTGCCACAACTGAGCAACTGAACTGAAGAAACTGTATTCGTTAAGATAAAAAAATAGGTTACTCTATAAAGAATGAGAAACAGACTTGCCTGAGGCAGTGTCACTAAATTAAAAAAACAGAAACATACTATGTCTAGAAGGCTGGGACTGAGGGGTTTCATGCTCAGCTTATTGTTATTTATGTTGAAAACAATAGAATGGCTTTTTCAGATATTTAGAAGTTCAGAAAATACTGGTTTTTCTTCACTGACATAACTATAGATGACATTCTTTCCAAATTAATACTTAACTAATCAAAATTGCACTGTTTTTGTTTCCTTTGATGAACTTTTTTGAAAGTTTGCCTGGATGAACATTCAAGTGAAAATAACCAAAAGAATTTGGCAAGAAAATGATAACGCATGAACACTACCTTTGCAATATGTTATAGATCAATGAAACAGAAATCCAAAAATAGACTAGAAACATGTAAAAACCGTATATGATAAGAAAGGTATTTAAAATTAATTGGGGAGCTTCCCTGTCGGCTCAGTGGTAAAGAATCCGCCTGCCAGTGCAGAAGACATGGGTGGTCTGGGAAGACTGCACATGCCACAGAGCAGCTCAGCCAGTGCATCACAGCTTCTGAGCTCATGTGCTGCAGCTACTGAAGCCTGCATGCCCTAGAGCCCATGCTCTGCAACGAGAGAAGTCACCACAATGAGAAGCCTGTGCACCGCAACTAGAGAGTAGCTCTCCACTCCACAGTTAAAGAAAAGCCCGCACAGCAGCACAGACCCAGGACAGCCAACAATAAATACATTGATTAAAATTTAAAATTAATTGGGAAGTCCCTGGAGAAGGAAATGGCAACTCACTCCAGTATTCTCACCTGTAGAATTCCATGGACAGAGGCCTGGCGGGCTATAATCCATGGGGTCACAAAGAGTCAGACACGACATGAGTCACAGCACAATTGGGAAGGGAAGTTTATTCAACTTGTGGCACTGGTTACCTGATGGGGAGAATTATTCTGAGTCCTCATATCAAAATTAATTACAGGTAGGGACTTCCCTTGCTGTTCATGTTGAGACTCCACACTTCCAAAGCAGGGAGCATGGGTTCAATCTCTAGTCCAAGAACAAAGATTCCACATACCACATGGCAGAAAAAAAAAATTACAGGCAAATACAAGTACTGATATTTTTAAATGTGGAAGAGAACCTAAACTTAAACCGTACAGGAAGTAACTGCTGTTAATGATTGAAAACCTAAACAACTAAACAGTTCTGTATCTATAAATAAAACCAAAAGGCAACAGCAAACTGGGAATTATATCTTCAAAAATAAAACATAATGAAGACCTTGTAAAAATGTGATAAAAGAGTCTCAAATAGTCAATTACCTGAGGCTATCAGGAGACTATTGGAAAGGAAGAAACTACAGAGGGCTAAATACAAATTTAGTTTAAGTGCAACTTTACTAATAATCGAATTAACATTTAAAACAGATTTTTACCTTCCGAATTAGCAAACTTTTATTAACTGGCAGGAACAGTGTTGTGAGAGGCAATTTCCTATAGTAGTCCTGAGATCCTTTCTGGAAAACAGTATGATGGACTGTACTCAAATCTGAAACAGGTGTGGAATTTACTTTAGTGTTATTTTTAATAATAAATGTTCTGAGACCATGATTGGTTATATTGCAGTACATTCCTGCCATTAAAAATGGTTTATGAAGAATTTTTTAATGGTATGAAAATGTTGGAATGTTAACGATAGATGAATGCAGGAAAAAATGTGATTCAAGTGTGTAATCTCAACCATAAAAAAATCGGATAGAAAACTGATAAGAAAAAAGAAACAAGTCCATTTGTTTAATTTCTTTAATTCTTTATATATATGTACATGCTCAATTGCTCAGTCATTTCCAAGTCTTTGTGACCCCATGGACTGTAGCCTGCCAGGCTTCTCTGTCCATGGAATTTTCTAGCCAAGAATACTGAAGTGGCTTGTCATTTCCTACTCCAGGGGATCTTCCCAACCTAGGGATATAACCTGCGTCTCCAGCATTGCAGGCAGATTCTTTACTACTGCACTACCTGAGAAGCCCCTTTATATATAGTATATTCTACAATATGCATATTTTTATATATAAAACACTTTGATCAATTAATTCAGTTTTTTTAATCTAATTGTTTCTGCCTCAGAGCAGCTAATCCTCACAGTCAAGGTTTAATAATCAACTGGGCAGCCTTGATCTTATTAGATTTGTGGGATAGAATAAAACTTGGTTGGTTTTCTTCACGAAGAAATGATGGTTCCCTGAAATTTTGAAAGCCACACAGATATAAAGAAGGAATTATCAGTTCAGCAAAGCCCGTGTTCCCAGTTAGAAGAAGTAGAGAGGCTCAGGAGGAGTTGGTGTCACTGTCACCTCGTGAGCCTGCGGGCTCCCTGGAAGGGCTGTGCTCAGCAGACCCTGGGAGGTGCACCCGGGCTTCCTGGAGACCTGTGGGCTGGCACAGCTCGCTCCAGCCTCTCCACCTGCTCTCCCACCTCTCGAGGCTGCGGTAGACCTTCCCTTTCCAGGGAGATTCACCTTTGATCACAGGGCCGTAAATTTCATTGGATGGATAACCTAAAGTACAGGCCGTCGGTGTTCCCATTGTGGATGAGCGCTCTATCTGCCATCCATGTGCTCCGTGCTGTGCAGTTCCTGGGTCTGGTACTAACAGTGACTGAAATCACGTCATTAGCCTCAGCCTGGCTGCTACATCATCCAGTTGTTTTTTGAAATACTCTTCTTGAAGTAGCAATTCATCTTTCTAGGTCCTAAAAAAAGACTTGCAGCTTTATTTGTGTATGGTAATTTTGCCTGGAGATACAGGGTCTTCGGCTAGGTTATAAGTCCTCAATTTGCCACTGAAACAGATAGGCTTGAAGATGATTTTTTACTAAAAACTGATTTATCAGGCTTCTGAAATTTAAGTGCCACTTTGCTTCCACTGAGTAACTTGCATAGGCCAAGATCCACAGTCTCTAGTCTTGTTTTCTTTTCTAATATAAACAGCTCTCATGCTTTTTGCTCATCTGAGTTTCAATAAAAAAATTCACAAATTTTGATTCTGAAACCAGCTGATGAATAAAAGGAACCGGTGTGTGATCAGCTGGAAAAACGGTTAGTAAGCCCTGGAGCAGGTGAGAACACCACTGTTCCTGAGCCATTGGAAAAATTAGCTGCAGTGACCCCAACAGCAACAGCGCTGGGAACACCCAGAGCTTCAGAGCAACACGGTTATCAGGGCATTATGGATATCATGGCCGTGTGAGCACCACTCTTCTACATCCACGTCAAAAAAATGAGAGTGCAAATAGTGGCAACACATCGAGAGGACCTTGGCTCCCGTGGTAGTCACGCAAGCAAGGGCCTGCCATACCAAGTTTCTCCCTGCCTTCTTGGGTCTGAACAGGGTTGCAAATTGACAACACGAAAATCTCTAATTAGTCACACTCAGTAATGAAACCAAGTTATTAGAATATTGTATAGAGTACATTTCAAAGTAAAAGAGAGGAAGACTTCCCTGGTGGTCCAGTGTTTAAGAATCCACCTGCCAATGTGAGGGACATGGGTTTGATCCCTGATCTGGGAAGATTCTATGGGGCAGCTAAGCCCGTGTGCCATAACTACTGAGCCCGCATTCTAGAGCCCAAGAGCGGCAACTAGAAAAAGCCGAAGCCCAGCCATGAAGACCCAGGGCAGCCAAAAATGAATAACAAAATTACTTTTTAAAAAATTAAGTAAAATAGAGGATGAAGCTTTTCAAAGCATCTATTATTAAAATGTTCCTTCAGATGCATTAAGAACCTCACTGGCTTTTGCTTTTACATCAGGTAATCTGTGCGACAATTGCCTTTGGAATGGGCATTGACAAACCAGATGTGCGCTTTGTGATCCACGCCTCCCTCCCAAAGTCTGTGGAGGGTTACTACCAAGAGTCTGGCCGAGCCGGAAGAGACGGGGAGATCTCTCACTGCATACTCTTCTACACCTACCACGACGTGACCCGGCTAAAGAGGCTTATCCTGAGTAAGCTGAGCTCCCTGGGGGACCTGTGCTGTCCCACTCAGTCCCATGACTGTCGTCCACCCCTGCAGTCATGGTGCTTTTGATCCAGTGATCCTTAAAATAGAGGCGCTTACATAGATATGGAAGTTTTATTTTAGGTCATCTTTATGATAAAGATGTTGTTCAACCTGTTGAAGATGAAAATTTCCAAACCAGTCCTTGTATACAGTCCAATCCTAAGAAATAACTCCAGTTACTAATTTCCTTTGTATCATTCCGGGCCCATTTTCTGTCTGGATCCTTGTATATAAATGTATATTTCAAACATGCAGAAAGGTAAAATGGAAAAACTAATGAGCTATCATGTTCCCCCATCCAGGTTAGGAAATAAACCCCCTATAGAGCCCTCTCATATCCCATCTCTTGACTTCCCCACTGGAGTTAACCAGTATCTTTTTATTTTTAATAATTTTTTTAAAATTGGGGTGTAATTGCTTTACGTTTTAGGCAATAACTTATGTTTGATATTTACGTTCCCAAATTCAGGTATTTCACAGTGTAAATGCTATTATATTATGCGTGTTTCTCCCCCACCCCCACCCGAAGTATTGTTGAGTTATTCAGGTGTACAACATAGTGATTTAAAGGTTATACTCTACTTATAGTGAAAGAAAGTGAAGTCGTTTAGTCATGTCTGACTCTTTGTGAGACCCTGTGGACTGTAGCCTACCAGGCTCCTCTGTCCATGGGATTTTCCAGTCAAGGGTTCTGGAGTAGGTTGCCATTTCCTTCTCTGGGGGATCTTCCCGACTCAGGAATCGAACCTGGGTTTCCCATATTGCAGGCAGACGCCTTACCCTCTGAACCACCAGGGAAGCCCACTCTATAGTTATTATATAAATGTGCTTTTTTTTAATACATATGTATATTGACCAGATTTTTTTTCTAGTCAACACTAGGGTGTAACTATGACTCCAACTAGTACACATAGCTTGACTATATAGAATTCTATAGAATCGTACTCCTTGTTTATTGAACCAGTCCCCTTTTAATAGATAAATAAGTAAACTTGCCTGTTTTGAGACTACTTTTGAAGGAACTCCGGCAAAGAAAACTGAGTGTGTGAAATGACACTTACCAAGCTCTGTGCCAAATAATGTTGACCTGTTTTGCTCATAACCAGTAGCAAGGGCAGGGTCCTAACCATTGGACTGCCAGGGAATTCCCAACCACCGACTTTAGAGATAGAGTTAGTCCCAAGAGAAAAGTGAACTTCAGAAAGGTTTTGTAACTTACTTCCAACAGCAGCAGCAGCGGTAGCAGGGAGGGTAGTCATAGTGATGATAATGTTTCCTTAGCACTTACTTACTATATACCACTGTCTTGAATGCTTTATGTACATCACTTAATGTTCACAAGACCCCTAAAAGACACTACTCTTACTCTGCTCATTTTACAGAAGAGTTTCCTCGAAATACAGAGCTAGATAAGTGGCAGAGCCCTGGTGGAATCCAGGTTTATCTGAATCCAAGATCCACCTCCTTTGCACTATACCAAGATCATTCTCAGTGAAAAAATGAAACTTTTAACTTAGTGTGTTTTTGAAAAGATCCTATATTAAGTTAGGTCCAAATAATTTAGTAAGTAAACCCTAAATACTTAGAAGCCGTCTGAAAAAAATAATACTCATAAAGCAAAAAAATTTTTTTATTTCCTTTTTAACAAACCACAGTTGCTTATGAATGAAAACTATGTACATGTTGTTCTCAAACCTTAGAATCAGAATGGATGCTACCACCCTCATTTCCTGTTTCAGGTTGATTTTTTTGGAGGTAATTGTGTTCATGATAGCAACTGCCAGAACTTCAGTTTCACAATGTTATTTAGAGGGACTTCCTTGGTGGTCCAGTAGTTAAGACTCTACGCTTCCAATGCAGGAGGTGAGAGTTCAATCCCTGGTCAGGGAACGAAGATCCCACATGCTGCCTGGCGTGGCTAGGAAAACAAAAAGAATTTAATTTAAATAAAAAACAGTAACAATGTTATTAAAAGGAAAGTAGCACAACCTGAGAGCTTCCCTGGTGGCTTAGTGGTAAAGAACCCAGGTACCAACGTAGGAGAGGCAGGTTCAATCTCTGGGTCAGAAAGATCCTCTGGAGAAGGCAATGGCAACCCACTCCAGTATTCTTGCCTGGGAAATCCATGGACGGAGGAGCCTGACATACTACAGTCTGTAGGGTCACAAGAGTTGGACACGACTTAGTGACTAAACAACAAGTTCATTGTGAACTACCCCAAACTAGTTGTGTATGTGGAGTTCAACAGATGTTAGGTGTTGCTGTGTTTCCCTTAAATTTAAAGTACCGACCAGCAGCCCTGTGCATTCATTGCAGCACCCACCCTGGCCCAGGAGGTCCTTCACACACAGTTTCAGAGCCAGTGGCTTCACCACTTTGATCCCAAATACTCCAGAAGATGCATGGCCCAATGCCACGCCCCAGTCTCTGCTCATTCTGGATGCTAGGTTTAGTTCATACTTGTCTTGATAAATGTAGTAAATATAGTTCAGATAGTTGTCGTTTTCAGAATGTTTTCCGCTACTCCTGACAACCTGTGTTTATTCCTGTAAGACTAAATTCTTGGTGGTGGTTGTTCATTCCCTCAGTCATGTTTGACTCTTTGCAACCCCGTGGACTGCAGCATGCCCGGGTTCCCTGTCCTTCACCATCTCCCAGAGTTTGCTTAAACTCATGTCCAGTAAATCAGTGATGCCATCCAACTATCTCATCCTCTGTCATTCCCTTCTCCTGCCTTCAGTCTTGCCCAGCATCAGGGTGTTTTCCAGTGAATCACTTCTTCGCATCAGGTGGCCAAAGTATTGGAGCTTCGCTTTGGCATCAGTCTTTCCAATGAATATTCAGGGTTGATTTCCTTTAGTACTGACTGGTTTGATCTTGCTGTCCAAGGAACTTTTAAGAGTCTTCTCTTGAGATGAATCTTGGAGATGAACATAAACATTCAGTTATTTATAATATAAATATTTAGAATTATAGGAACCTATCTTACATAAGTCTGTGGTATATTCAATTTTTCTATTTTAATAAGTATGTTTTACTATGTTCTTCATCTCTTTTAGTGGAAAAAGATGGAAACCGTCATACACGAGAGACCCACTTCAATAATTTGTATAGCATGGTACATTACTGTGAAAATATAACAGAATGTAGGAGAATACAGCTTTTGGCTTACTTTGGTGAAAATGAATTTAATCCTCATTTTTGTAAGAAATACCCAGATGTTTCATGTGATAACTGCTGTAAAACAAAGGTAAAATAAGCAAGTTTTAAATTCTTTATAATAAGGAAATTACCAAGATTTTTTTTTTCTTCTCTTAATTTAGAAAAGTTAGATATAAGTTAGATTGCAATAAGGTCAGCCCTAAGGAGTTTAACAAGGGAACAGTGGCTTCCTCCCCATGTTAATTGGAAAAAGAAACATTTTGATAATAATTCTGTGACATACCCTTAGAACTCGAAGCCTGTTTAAAAAGTATATACTGTACCTGTTTCAGTGATTATAGGATATTTTAGAAATGTCATTAATCTATAAATTTCCAAAAAGATGCTAGAATAACTTCCATTCGATTGTAATTACATTTAAACATCCCATCTCAAAAGGGTTATAACTAGTATACTTATGTGTTTGAATTCAGATCAATTAGATTACTGTGTAAATTGGTTTAAAAAAACTATAAAGAATAATGGCAATTGCTTCGAGATGAGTTTGCTATCATCTCTCTTAAAAATAACCTTGGGAGGTGGTTAAATTCAATCCTTGTCTTCTCTGCTTCACAGTTTATGGAGCATTTTCTTGTTTTATATATTACTTGAAAGGTCTGTGCAAGGTGCTAGGGATTCACAGACAGGAGAGACAGACATGTTTGTATTCATATTGTTGTGATGCCTTGTTATAAATCCAGTTACAGATAGGCAGCACTAGCTGAGCAGAGGGCAGTTTACTCTGTCTCTCTGGATTCCTGGCCATCTCCACTCACTATGTAGATGTGACTAATCTGTTCACTCCTTCAACAAATATTTGTTGAGTGCCTGCTCTGTGATAGACACTGTTCTAGGAGTTTGGGGTATATCACCGAACAGCATATGAAGATCCCTACTCTTGTGGAGCTCACTTTCAACCTGAGGAAGGCTGAATAAAGACAATATATGTTATAAGTACATGTGAAGAGGGAAATTGTTGCTGTTCAGTTGCTCAGTCATGTCCGACTCTTTGAGACCCCATGAACTGCAGCATGCCAAGCTTCCCTGTCCTTCATCTCCTGCAGTTTGCTCAAACTCATGTCCATTGAGTTGATGGTGCCATCCAACCATCTCATCCTCTGTTGCCCCCTTCTCCTCCTGCCCTCCATCTTTCCCAGCATCAGGGTCTTTTGAAGAAGGAAGAGCCTTGGTGAAAAGTACAGCAGCGTAGAGAGTCAGCAATGATAAATGGAATTCAGGAGGCAGTGGCCCTAGGAAGTCCTATTACAGATGAGACCTCAGCAAAAACTTGAAGGGAGTTTAGCTGAGCAGCTCTCAAATATGGGTATTCTTGGCAGAAGCCAAGACGAAAGACCCTGAGGTGGGGATGTGCCTGTATGTTTGAGAGATAGCAAGGGAACTCACAAGCCTGTCGGGGGTTAAGAGTTAGTCAGGGGAAAGGTAACAACCAGCCAGAGCATTATCTGGAGAACGGAGAGATTGGCCTAGTGGAGCAACCCTCATCAGAGGAGACCTACTGGCAGGGAAGATCAGGAGTTCGGCCTGGGGCAAGGTGAGTTAGATACTGTTATCTTAGATTGAGGAATTCTGAAAGGAAACTGGTGATACTGTAACTGGGAGTGGTTGGCCTGGGGGTTGAATTGAAAGTCATGAAAGCAGACGAAATCTTCAGTGGTTTCCATTTGCATGGAAGAGAAGAAAAAGACTGAGCCTTGGTACTTCAAGAGCCTGAGGAGAAGAGGAAGAGTTAGGAAAGGAGACCAGGAAAGAGAGAAAGTGAGGTTGGAAGAAGAGCAAGGCAACTAAGTGTGGAAGAGCTTCAGAGAAAAGGGAATGCTACCAGGTCACGCACTGCTGCCAAGCCCCGTATCATAAGGACCAAGCCGTCCCCATGAACATAGCCCCGAGAAATATGGGACCTGGACGTGACCAGTTTCAGTGGAGAGGGGCAAAGCTGGAGGCAGTGTGCTTATGGAAAATTCCTTCGTTTTGTTTCAGGGATGAACAGAGAAACAGTAGCTGACAGGGGAGCTGGAGTCAGGAAAAGACAGAAGTGCTGTAGTTGTGTGCTGAAAGGAACGTACCTACAGAGGATGGAAACTGATGTGTGAGGACAGGAAGGTGTGCTGAAGCAGGGTTGCTGGGTTAGCGAGGAGGGCTGGGAGCTTGTCTAGGGTACCAAGATGGGCTCAGACAGGAGCCTGGATAGTTCATCTATAACAACAGGAAGGAAGAAGAGAAAATGTGGGAGAAGCGCTGGAGACAGATGTAGTAGAGGGAGTTTGCGAAAGCTTTCTTCCCATCGATTCAGTTTTCTCAGCAAAGTAGGAAACAAGGTGAATGCAGGAAACAAGAGTGTGAAATCAGGTCCACAGACTTATCTTAAAGGGCCAGAGAGTAAACATTCCAGGCTTTGTGGGCAGTCTCTCCCAACTACTCAACTCTGCCGTTTTAGCCCAAAAGGGGACGTAAAACACAATAAATACATCAATTTTCCATGGTCCTTTTTGATAAAATTTTATTTACAAAAGCAGGTGTATAGCGCAAAGGCCATAACTTGCTGACTCCTGTTCTAAGAGAATGGAGGAAGGATAGACCACACACATGTCATGATCACCAAAGGGAGCACTTGATGTCTGTGGCCCTGTGTTGAAAGTGAAAGTCAGTTCAATTCAGTAGTCGTGTCCGACTCTTTACGACCCCGTGGACTGCAGCACACCTGGCTTCCCTATCCATCACCAACTCCTGGAGCTTGCTCAAACTCATGTCTATCGAGTCAGTGATGCCATGAAATTGAAAGTGAAAACAGCACAGTTTCTCCAGCCAGGTGTAGCTACAAAGATAGAGGCATGAAGAGGTGGAGAATGGGATGTAATGTGTTTGTCAAACTAGGAGACATAAGGGCAAGGGAGTTGAAGGTGTTGTGTGAAAGGTGGTGTTATAATTAAACAAGAGAGAGAGAGATTGGCTCTGGGATATCAACTGAATACCTTAGTACTTAGAGAACATCTAAGGAGGTGGATCAATGGCTAGGCAGTCCCAGTGGATTGTTGTAGTCAGCATACTAGCTGGCCTGAGTTTGAGAGGAGGTGATGGTCAGAGAACAGAGGGTTGCTGGTATTGGTAAGACTAAGGTAGTGGATGTGACCATTAGAGTGAGCGGCTGAAGTGGCTGACATTTGTGGAGGATGGGGTCACCAGAGCACAGGAGATCACGTTGCCCAAGGCCAAGATGAGGGAGAATCATTTCTGTGCACTAAGTCACCAAGAATTAAGGCAGGAGTCAGGTTGCAGAGAGCAATGGGGGCACTCGTGACAATGCCAGATAGAGCCTCAGAATCACTACCAGGTCTTAGTGTAGGATGAAAAACCCACCTGTCTTCAGGACTGTGGGGGTTGAGCAAGGATTAGCAGGTAGAGGCACAGAAGCACATTGCCACTTCTGAGAACTGTGGGTGCTCAGCATTGCTGTGATGTGATGATAGTAAAACATCACATAGTAATGGGGACTTCAAGAGGAAGGCAGAGGGACTTCCCTGGTGGTCCAATGGATGAGTTCATCTGCCAGTGCAGGAGACTCGAGTTCAGTCCCTGGTCCAAGAAGATCCCACATGCTGCAGATCAGCTAAGCCCATGCTCCACAACCACTGAGCCCTTGTGCTACAACTACCGAAGCCCACGCACCTAGAGCCCATGCTCTCCGACAAGAGAAGCCAGTGCAGTGAGAAGCCAGCACACTGCAATGGAGAGGAGCCACCTCCTCACCAAGCGCATCTAGAAAACCCACAATGAAGACACAGCAAAGCCAAAAAATAAAATAAAAATAAATAAAATTCAAAGAGCAAAGAAAAAACAATGGTTGGCAGAGTTTGGAGACAACTGAGGGCTGTGAGAAAGGGAACTGACTGGAAATAACAAAAAGGATTTACTGTGGCACCAAAGACCCAAAGGACATCAGAACTCATACATTTGCATGGTTAGACAATGTTTTTCGTTCCAGAGGTCATCATACAGCAAGTGAGAGAGAAAGTATGAAGGATTTTGGAAAAAAAGAATATTTCTACCCACAGAGTGCTCTCTGGTAACTCTCTGTGAAACTGACGAAATAGATATAGTAGACTGCTCATTCTAGACACAAGATTAATATAAAAACTTAGAAAAGAAGGAACATTCGCAACTGCCTTAGTTTTTGGCTTTGGTTTTAGTATGGAAATTACGTGTTGTGGGACTGTTTAATACTGTTAGTATTAAACACTAGCAATCTAGGTATTGTTATCTTAATTATAAAGATAACAGTAAAAGATAATAAATAAATATTAAAAAGTAATCTCTTTTTATTCATAGGATTTTAAGACAAAAGATGTGACCGATGATGTGAAAAATATTGTAAGATTTGTTCAAGAACACAGTTCATCTCAGGGAATAAGAAACGTAAAGCATATAGGTCCTTCTGGGAGGTTCACTCTGAACATGCTGGTCGACATTTTCTTGGGTAAGTCAGCTGTTTTTTTTGGTTTTTTTTGTTTTTTTTTTTTTCTTTTTTTCTTGTGTCGAGGGCTGACTTTCAATAGATCGCAGCGAGGGAGCTGCTCTGCTACGTACGAAACCCCGACCCAGAAGCAGGTCGTCTATGAATGGTTTAGCACCAGGTTCCCCACGAACGTGCGGTGCGTGACGGGCGAGGGGGCGGCCGCCTTTCCGGCCGCGCCCCGTGTCCCGGGACGAAGGGCTCTCCGCACCGGACCCCGGTCCCGACGCGCGGCGGGGCGCGCCGCGAGTCAGCTGTTTTATCATTTGAATTACATCAATTAAAAGTGAACATTAAAGAAATCATTACAGCTACATAGAAACACCTCTGTTGTCTGTTTTCTTCAAGAATTTAAGGGCTTTAGAATAAAAACCTTTTGGAGTAGTGAAAGAAGCCATTTTATGCATTTTAACAGTATTTTTATAGAATTTACATAAGTCACTAAAATGAGTTTTCACAAATGAAAAAGAAAGTAAGGAAGCTCGTGCAGTTTCATCTGAGTGAATGGAGTATAACTTCACTGGGCTTCTAGTTTGGGACGGCAGCTTGAGCATTAACTGTCTGTCTTCTTTTTTCTTCCTTGAGGCCCTTTTAAAATAGTAGCAAGGAAATAGAAGGAGGATTCAATCCATAACAGCATAGAGAACCAGAAAGAGACCATCATCAGATTAGAAGTTTTAAAAATCTTTTACAAAACGAATGGAAACATATTGATAAATGGAATGAAATTCGATATATCACAGAGCAAATAAATATAGAAGAAAGTTACAGCCAAGGGACTGTCAACCAGGCAGAACGCCATTGTCACCAGGCCCCAAACCTGGGGTCTTGAGGCCTAGGGGTAGACGTGAAAGCAGGGGACTCCAAATAGGAGGGGACAGTTGGAAGAAAGTCTGCTCACAGAAGAACTGCATGGAATACCAGCCCGCAACTCATTCTAGAACAAAGATAAACAAACTGCTTGAGGAGCAGAAAGACAGCCAAGTTGGGGGCCACCCAGCACATTTACCCTAAAGCAAACCGATAACTGGACATCCCATTTCAAGGGAGGAATTTGGGGGGAAATAGATGTAGATACAAAATAATAAGAAATCCACTTAAAAAGTTTAATCTGGTCCCTGGAGAGTAAATATAAATAGACAATCAAGTAAAGACCAGAGACTTCCTTGGTGGTCCAGTGGCTAAGACTTCATGCTCCCAGCACAGAGAATCCGGGTTCGATCCCTGGTCAGGGAACTAGAGCCCACATGCCCTAAGTAAGAGTTTGCATACCACAAAGAAAAAAAGAGAAAGGCCAAAGAAGTAACATATTTGATCCTGGGGACAGAGATAATTTAGAAAATAGGCAGTATTTCTGGGGAGACAGGAAGGGGAACTCCTCATTAGTATCTTCATGAAGACAAATAATAATAGAATATTATGGTGCCTTGGATGGTAAAGAACCCACCTGCAATGCGGGAGACCTGGGTTCGATCCCTGGGTTGGGAAGATCCCCTGGAGGAGGGCATGGCAACCCACCCCAGTATTCTTGCCTGGAGAATCCCATGGACAGAGAAGCCTGGTGGGCTACAGTCCGTGGAGTCACAGAGTCGGACATGACTGAGTATGGAAAAGAAACAAAGACAGAGAAAGAGCTGTTAAAATTTTTAAATGATTGACAAAGTAAATTTAGTAGAAAGGCTGGAAGACAACATCAAGAAAATTTTCTCAAGACCTCAGCAAAAATATATGGAAAATGTGAGAGAGAAAATACAGATCAATTCTTAGGAAATGTAAAATCTGACAAAATTTTGAAATAGGAAATAATCTAGCCAATAGTAAAAGGAAATTTCTCAGAAAAGGAAAAAAGCCTTAATTAAAATGCCCACTGGGGGAGTTCCCTGGTGGTTAGGATTCGGCACTTTGACTTCCATGGTCTGGGTTCAATCCCTGGTCAGGGAACTGAGGTCCTGCAAGCTGTGTGGTGTGCCAAAATTTAAATTTAAAAAAAAAGAAAGAAAAGCCTGCTTAATGCCAAATAAATGCTTAATAAGATGAGATTTAAGAATACCAGGAGTAAAGAGATGTCGGGGAGGAAAAGCCTTTTCTCTGTTCTGTTAGTTAGGGAGGCGGATTAGCAAGAGAAAGGACAGATTCAATCAGATATGTAGTGGGAGTTCATGGAAAATGTGACTCAGAGGAGCCCTTAGAATCAGGCTTGGCTACCATTTTAATAGGGGAAGGAGAGCAGGAAGGGTTAGGAGGAAACAAATGATGGGGAAAGATAAATGGGTCCTTAGGAGAAAGATGGGGAGGTGGGGAATGTGGTCGTTTTTGTGACAATGTCTGGGTGTTGTATGGAAAGTTCTCATCTCTGATGAGGAGAGTCAGTCTTCTCTGGTTGCTCCGGGGCAGGGAGAGGAGGAGGGGATTTAAGACAGTTGAGTTCTTTGGGGAGTGTCTGCTTTTTGGCAGATAAGATTTCAGGAACTCAGATGCCGTCTGCTCAGAATAGTTTTGATGCCATTGTGGCATATTCTGAACCCCTTCAGAGATACTCCCAAAAGCTTTGGAAAGAAAAAAACCAAAACCAAAAGGACATCAGATTAATGCCAGCAACCCTGGAAACTCGCAGGCAAAGAAGATGATGTGATGTATACCATAAACAGGAACAGACCCATGGGTCCAGGGAGAAGAAATCCCAGAGTCACAGTAAGCAGTCTTTACATGCGTGCTCAGTCAATCAGTTGTGTCCAACTCTTTGCGACCCTGTGGACTGTAGCCCCCCAGGCTCCTCTGTCCTTGGGATTCTCCAGGCAAGAATACTGGAGTGAGTTGCCATGCCCTTCTCCAGGGGAACGTCCTGAAGCAGTCCGTACAAATTGTTAACAGAAAGTCGGAAAAATAAGTCCCAAGAAATATAGAGAAAGAACAAGAAATGAATTTTTCTTTTGTTTTGATGACAGAAAAGGCCACAAATGTTACTTCTCAACAACAAAACAAGAAAGGCACTTGGAAACTCCGGGGGAAAGATTATACAAGAGAGCGGAGGTCAACTAGAAAACGAAGGAAGTGGCTGCACTTTGCGTAATTGATAAAATGTACAAAATAATCTGTCTGGGTACAGTGAACATGCTCCTTACTTGCACAAGAGTCAGAAGTTCTAAGTGGGAAAGGAAGCTTGTCCTAATTGAAACACTGCTGATAAGTGGCAGAGTCAAGGTGTAGACTTAAACAGTGGTTAGAGAACAGGACAGGATATAGTTGTTAATCCTGGTGATGTAAGAATGAAAGTACAATAAATAAAAATAAGGACTTCCCTGGTGATACAGTGGGTAAGAATCTGCCTGCCATGGCAATTCAGGGGACATGAGTTTGATCCCCAATCCAAGTAGATTCCACAATGCTGTGGAGCAGCTAAGCTCAAGCGCCACAACTAAACCTGTGCTTTAGAGCCCTCAAGCTGCAACTACTGATCCCATGTTCGCTAGAGCCTGTTCGGGCCTGTTAGGACGTGGGTTCAACCCTAGAGCCTGTGCTCCACAAGAGAAGTCACCACAATGAGAAGGCCATGCACTGCAACAAAGAGTAGCTCTGGCTTGCCGCAACTAGAGAACGCTTTCGCACTGCAGTGAAGACCAAGCAAAACCAATAAACAGATAAAAATAAAAGGGGAGTGTACGGATGGCTTGGAATGACAGCAGAAGTGTGGGTTCCATGAGTGGTAACCACCAGAAGAACTGAAAACAAGCCATTTAAAAAGTGATTGCCTTGGGGTTTCCCTGGGAGTCCAGTGGTTAAGACTCCACGCTTCCAGTGCAGGGGGCAGGGGTTCAACCAGCGATCGGAGAACTGAGATCCTACATGTTGCATGGCACGGCCAAAAAAAATTAAAAATTTAATTTTTGAAAAAGTGATTGACTTGGAAAAGAGTGAGACTAGAGAGGGGAAGGGTAGAATAGAGGAATGTTGCTTATAATTACAAACCCTCCTGTACTGTATTTTTTCCTATGTACATGTATTACTTTTAATTTAAAATCTGTAAAGCAATTAAAAAATGAATAGCCTCCACTGGAGAAGGGAGATGGTTTGCTCAGTTTCTAAGCTGTTTCTTCTGGATCCACATATTTCTCAGGACAAAGCAGCTTTTAATGCTGGACCCCCTTTCTGGATTCTTGCCTTCTAGTTTGGGAGCACAAAGGGTTGTAGGTTAAACAGTTTATTATAAGAATGATACATAATCATTCTACATTATTACATGTAGAAAACTGAAAAATGCAAACTCCAGGAAAAAACTACTAATATTTTAATGTGTTTACTCACAATCACGTATTTATATTGAATGTATAGTTTCTATCATTTAAGCATTTTTAAATTTTTTTACTCTCCTGAAGTAGCTTTTAGTTTTTATTTTATCATATTGATGAAATATATTTAAATAGTTTTATTTTAGGACATATTGGGTTGGTGAAAAAGTCTGTTAGGGCTTTTCCATAACATCTTACAGAAAACCCCAAGTGAACTTTTTGGCCAACTCAGTATTTTTCTAGTGTACATAATGGTGTGATAAATAGCCTTTTAAGTGCACCTTCACCTGCATCTCTGTACCTTTCATGTAGGTTCCTAGAAAGATTGCTAAGTCAGACATTTTTCTGACACATGCTTCAGTTTCTCATCAGCTCTTATATGTTTTTAAGAAAATTGTTTATGTTCCATCCAGCTTTCTTAGTTACCCTCAGCACTAGTACTGGGTCCACATCACCCAGTCCTTTACCAGAGCAGTAGTCCTTTATGTCCAGATCGCTTGAAGAAGTAAAACTTGGATCATTCAGCATTTGTGACAAGAAGCCATCTGAAATTTACAGTAACATAATTATTTGAAGCTCTTACAATAGAGCTAAAGCCTTACAAAGTATAGCTGTTAATTCTGATTATAATCAATGTCACCAGCCTTCTTAAGTGGTGGTAGTTTAGTTGCTAAGTCGTGTCTGACTCTTGTGATCCCATGGAACTGTAGCCCATCAGACTCCTCTGTCCATAGATTTTCCAGGCAAGAGTACTGGAGTGGGTTGCCATTTCCTTCTCCAACCTTCTTAAGTAGATTGTTATTAAAGAAAAAAATAACTCTGCTTATGATCTTAAAAAAAAAAAAAAGACACTTGTCATTATAGCAGCTGGGATGTGAAACCAAGTATCCAGCCTGGTATAGAGCTCTCAGTCAGCCCCCTGGGGGAGGAGGGAAGCACATGGCCTCGTGGAATGCTGTACTTTTGATTTGGAGTTTATATAGGTTTCATCTCTGAGGATGACAGAATGTGTAGACTTTAATACTTTGATTATAAAAAAGTAGCACTTTCATCACAGGACCAGAGATAATACTTATAAAGTTGATTGTCAAAAAAAATTTTTGAAACTAGATCAACAATGCATAGTTATCCTAATATAGCAATAGTGATGTGAAGCTATTAAAGTTGGCATAAACTTTGTCTTTGATTTGTTTGCTATCATATAATTTTATAAGCTGTACACGCAACATCCTAAAATGACCAACTTGATTTTGTTGCTATGTTTGGTCAATGCCTGTTACATAAAGAGAAGTACATGAAATTATTTTAAAATTCTCCTCAAATATTCTTACTTTACAGAAATGAGTGTCTGTTTGTGCCATAGGTTTTCCTGAAGAAGAGTTATTTATCCCTTTATCCAGACCTGTCCATAAATGACTTTTAAATATATATATATATATATATATGTGTATATATATATATATATATATTTGACTGCGTTGGGTCTTAGTTGTGGCATGCAGGCTCTTCATTGTGGCTCATGGGCTTCGTTGCCCCATGCCGTGTGGGATCTTAGTTCCCCAAGCAGGAACTGAACCCATGTCCCCTGCACTGGAAGGCAGCTTCTTAACCACTGGACCACCAGGGAAGTCCCCATAAATGACTTTTTTAGCTTCTTTTGTTACAGTTATGGTGAAAGGGAATGTCGCTCAATCATGTCTGTCTCTTTGGGACCCTATGGACTGTAGCCCACCAGGCTCCTCTGTCCATGGAATTCTCCAGGCAAGAATACTGGAGTAGGTTGCCGTTGCGTTCTGTAGGGGATCTTCGAACTCGGGTCTCCTGCCTTGCAGGCAGATTCTTTTCCATCTGAGCCACCAGGGAAGCCCTCAGTTATGATATACCTATATTTACTAATGTAACTTCTTGTACCTTCTTGCCAGGGAGTAAGAGTGCAAAAATCCAGTCAGGAATATTTGGAAAAGGATCTACTTATTCAAGACACAACGCCGAAAGACTTTTTAAAAAACTGATACTTGACAGGATTTTGGATGAAGACTTGTACATCAATGCCAACGATCAGCCAATTGCCTATGTGATGCTCGGAAGTAAAGCACAAACCGTACTAAATGGGCATTTAAAGGTATGGTTTTTTAAATGTTGGCTTTATTATCTCCCAAAGAGTAGATAGAAATATTTTACTGCGAGTTAAAGCGTCTTTTCCTAAACTGATGAGCTGATGGACATTGAACTTATATGTACCGCCCTATATGAACATATTCTGTTCTTCTTGGTTTACAAAGAGATCTTAAACTTGAGCCTAAGTAATGTCATACCTGTCAAAATGAATCATATGGGCTATCAGATCATTAGATCATCATATATTCATTAAATAAACATTTATTAAAAAGCTTTTCTGTGCTCTCACTGGAAATGCAAAGATGGAGAATGGACAGCTCCTATTCCCAAGAGACTTACTATCTACCGGACGTAACAGAAATACCAGCCCCCAAGAAATGTCCCTGAGCATTAAGTGAAGGCTCTGTTCGGCCACAAGCGTACACACACCCACTGTGCTCTGTGTTTCTCTCACGAAGGTAGACTTCATGGAAACGGAAAATTCCAGCAGGGTGAAAAAACAAAAAGCATTAGTAGCAAAGGTGTCTCAGAGGGAAGAGGTGGTTAAGAAATGTCTTGGAGAACTTACAGAAGTCTGCAAATCTCTGGGGAAAGTTTTTGGCGTCCACTACTTCAATATTTTTAATACCGTCACTCTCAAGAAGCTCGCAGGTTGGTATGTGTACGTCTCCTGTTGCACAGCATAAATGAATGGGCCAAAAGTTAATCTTGATAAAGAACTCATCAAGAGCATAAATATATCTCAGTCTTTTCCATCTCTGAATGGAAAGCTCAAACAATTTAAACTCATTCTTGAAATAAAATATATTCTTGAAGATAAACACAGTACTTTGTTCTTCAGACAAGACATATGGTATTAATATAATTTTAATCTACTTGGGTTTAATGCTGCATGTTAAGATATGGATAATTGTAATTGCTGATACCAGGTGTCTCTTACTGAATTTGTGCATTGCTTGCCTGTCTTATGTTTAACAAATTGTGCACACAGTTTTGTTCTGTTTTCGTAAGGACCTTAGCTTCACATTCCTAAAACATAAGTTCCTTATGAAAAGAGATTTTGTTCTATGCTTCTCCGAATCCAGACCTAGCACATGGCTGTATCTTAAGTATTTTGTGATAAATACTTGCTGACCTGAATTATCCCCATGGCTTCAGATAGCTCCACCCAGAATTCTGTTAGTAAAGTCCCTGGCAAATAAGTTGGCCCGTAGTTGACTGACAATGAGTGTACATTTCCTTCCATGCTCATCCTTTATAAAAACCCATAATCACCACCTTCCCTCTCCCATTCCCACTCTGGCCACCATAGGTCATTATAGTATCTCATCAACTCTAAGATGCCACGTTGTTATTTTATGGACTATTGAGAAAGAAAAAAATTCTGCTAATTAAACTGTGACACAGTACTTTTATTGAAAGAGTTGTATTCTACTTTTTTAGATTTTTAACATACATAACTGTGCCTCTGTGGAAAAATGCATAAGTCAAAGTAGGTTGATTTAAGTACTTGTAAAAATTCACATTCAAAGCCTGACTCTTCTGAATCTTTTTTTTGACTCAGCTGTCCATGTCATTGTTTTTCCCTCGTGTCATCAGGGATGTTAGTGATACAGCCTTTTTAGCATGTTCTACTATATCCCCCAAATGTTATCAAAATCCCCATCACCCCTTCCAGTGTGATGGTGGTATTTTCTTAATTATACCAGAAAGTTGTCCACAGACAGGCACACATCTCTTAGCAACACAAGTCATGTAAAGCATTTGGTTGTTGCCTACAAGAAACTACGAAATTGTCATCTCCTCCAGAACAAATCATTTGCTTTGTTAATGCCACATTTATTCCTTTATTCCCCATTACTCCATGTCTGAGCTTTTTTACATTCACAGTCGTTTTCTTCTTTTAATTTTTTTTTCTTTTTGGCTGCACGGGGTCTTTGTTGTGGCTCAGCCCTGCAGCATATGGGATCTTAGTTCCCTGACCAGGGATCAAACCCGTGTCCCCTGCCTGGGAAGGCGGATTCTTAACCCCTGGATCACCAGGGAAGTCCCCACATTATTTTCTCAGTGCTCATCCCAGTTTAGTCTTTTTGAAGATATTTCATGTGCAGTTAAACTCACCATGTGAGGAACCAGCACTGCAGTGGTGCTGTTGACTGATGCTGTGACTACGTTCTCACGTGCATAGGTGGTGACAGCTGCTGGACAGCTGCCATCTGGCCATCTGTACTGGTAAGAAGCAGCTTGACCTCAGGAATGCCAAAATTAAAAAAAAAAAAAAGTGTGTATCTTTGAATCAATAAAATACTGTATTTTGTTCCTAGGTTCTCAGTGAAGTTTCTTAACTGGACTCCTTAACTCCAGATATAAACATGATACTCATTTTAATCTTCTAAGTACTCTTTAAAGCTCCAGCAGTTCTTCAGATAAAGTACAAACTCTATCAGGGATTTGCATTTCTTTTTTTTTTTTTTTCCACACCCCGAGGCATATAGGACCTTAGTTCTCTGACCAGGGATCAAACACTCACCTTCTGCAGTAGAAACACAGAGTCTTAACCACTGAACCACCAGGGAACCTGCAGGGATCGGCATTTCTCCTTGCCTCCCTTTCTCTTCTACTAACCCCCTGGTCTGTCCCACAGGTCTGTTCTTCTTCCTCTAAATGTAGAAATGATGTGAGAATCACGGATTTGAAATCCACCCTTTGCTCAACTCCAATATGTGAGGATTACTCACTTGCTCCCCATAGCCAGTGCATGAATAAATCCTACAGACCTAGCCTCCAAAACATGTCCGAATCTGCTGCTTCTCTCCATCTAGTTCGAAGCATGCTCACTTGCACCTGCAGCAGCTTCCTCGAGGCTCCAGTTTCTCCTCTTTCCCTTACAGTCCATTTTGCATACAGCAGCCAGAGTGGTATTTACAACAACAAACTTGTCTAGCTGTAAGACTCATGTGCCTTCTGTGCTCAGAGGACTCTTAACGGCCTACTTGCCTCGCCCACGTGCAGAAAGGCTGGAGGAAGGACAGGTTTGGGTTGAGGGGGAAGTGAAAATTCATTTGAGGCCTTCCTGAGCAGGAGATGCAAGTCAGGAGTGCAGGGGAGAAGTCAGAGGTGGAAGGGAGCACAAATGTGGACCTTCTCTGCAAACAAAGGATCCCCATAATTGCAACTAGACTGTCTTTGTAATGCAAACAGTGGTTGACAGCAAAGACCGGATACCCCCCTCCACTCTGCTCCCCTCAACGTCCTAGTAGACCCCCTCCTATTCTTTGCCCTGACCAGCACCTTTGCTGCTGGAATGCGATGGTGGGCTCCTGCCCTCTGGGCCTGTCTGCTGCCTCCATTGGCACTAGCTGCCTTTTTAGAAAATTGGCCCATATACCCAGCGCTCTGCAGTCAGTTGGCACTTAACACACAGGCGCTGAATGGGTGAATGAGTATAAATCCAGTGGGTTTTCTCTGGGTGGTAATTTAAATTTCTAATTTTATGTCCATGTACAGAATCTTTATCTTCTGATCCTGAGGTTTTGCTTCAAATTGATGGTGTTACCGAAGACAAACTGGAAAAATATGGTGCTGAAGTGATTCCAATATTACAGAAATACTCTGAGTGGACATTGCCAGGTTCGGTATACAGCCAAATATGTGTTTTTCCAAAAGCCTCTTTTAATGTTAAGCAATGCCTCTCACTGGATTAGAGTTGTGTGGTTTCTGGGTTGTGTCAGTGCTTCCTACACCTCGTCACACTGACATCCAAGTGCTCCGAGCAGACCCCAGTGGGGTGCCAGGCACTTCATAGAGAGCACGGTGCTTAGGTCCCCGGGGGTCCAGTTAGCAGACCTGTGATAGGACCCAATGGAAGGCCTGTGGGCCCAACATTTGTTGATCTGTTAGAGCAAGTGCCTGAGGACGCTGGAGCCCCCAGGTGCCGGTTGCAGGTTGGTCAGCGTCCGCCTCTGATCCTTGGCAGGCCACGAGTATCCGTTCCATGTTTCACTTTCCTTATCTGAGGAAGGAACTTGTTATCCGACAAGCATGTCTAAAGATTAAGTTGAAATGTTTTGGAAAATGAACATGTTACTGGAACGCCTGAGCCTCCAACTGTCTCTAGCGCTGAAGGGCTGCCTGAGCGAGTGCATCCTTAATGGACGTTCCCAGAGGCTGCGTGAGGCCTGTCGTGTAGCACCTCTAATTACGGAGCTCATCACTTGTACCTCTCACTACAAGCCATAGGAAGCGCAGATGCAGGGAAAATTGAGAACAAAGACTGTGTTGTGGGCGATAGGTCAGGTGCAGGAGTCGGGTGCCTGTCTCCAGGGTATTGTGATGCATACGAGCCAAGTGAACCGTTCTGTGACTCCGGTCCTTCCCAGGGCTGAGGGAAATGGTAGTGGGGTGAGACATGAGCGAGTCGCGTTCTGTCTCTCCACAGTCATTTTTATCCCTTGGCACGATGCAGAAGAGTCAGGTTCTCGTTAATTCTTCTGTACGGTAATTATTCTATAAAAGCCTTACTCCATACACATTGAACACTTGGTGGGAACTTAATGCTTGGTTAGTGTAGCACCTTGTTTGGAAGGGTATTTTACCCACATCAGACAGGGCAGCTCTGCAGAAATCGCCAGTGATGACCACTCCCACTTACTGAGGGAGAGATGCTGAGCCAAGAGCTTTGCCCATTTTGTGTCATTCAGTCCTTCCTTATACATCTGTTTTATTTTTGACCATGCCATGCAGCTTATGGAATCTTAGTTCTCTAACCAGTGACTGAACCCAGACCCACGGGCAGTGAAAGGGCAGAGTGGTAACCACTGGACCACCAGGGACTTCCCCATGCCCATTTTGGAGATGGAAATGGGCGAGGCTTTTCGTTTTCCTGAAGTCCCACAGCTGGAATGACTGCGCTCTTCACCCTTCCTACTATGCCCTTCCTACCGAACAGTGAGGCAGGGTAGCCTCAGGGTAAACCAGGCCAGCCAGGAAGTACCTTCAGAAAATGAAGACCCGATCTTGATCACTGTTGGTGGGGAGATTTCAGGCTCTGGGAGTTCTTTGGGTTGCAAATACCTATGGAAATTACCATCTTCTTTGCAAATGTGTGCTTTGTACAGGCCCATTTCCTGCATAATATGTGAACTGTTCACAGCTATTATGCAAAGAAAAGTAAAATACAGTCTAGAATTTTCTGACACTCACTACTAAGTAACTATCACTCTAAAGATGAGGTGCGAAGATAGTCATGTTTTCCTTACATTTGGGCTTGTCTTTTTCAGCATATGTAAACTAATAAATTGTCTTTTAGTTAGCACTTTTACTTTTCAGAGAGCTTAACAGGATTAATGGCACAAACAATAGCAGGGACTTGGGCTGCAGAGAGTGAGCTAATAAACCTGACATCTCTAGTTAAGTTAGAGAGCATCACACATTTTTCTTAATGAATTCCAACCCCCATTCTTTAAAACTGAATTGCCATTGATGACTTTGGGGCTTTTTGAAATAAAAGAAGAGCACGGTTCTTGTGGGATGGTGGAACCCAAGTGGCGGGATGCTCCAGGAAAGCAGCAGGGTCTCAGCTGAACTGCGCCCTGTACTGTGTGTGTGCACGCAGACTGTCATCAGCATGGCATCACCAATACATGTCTGCATTGTCCGTTTGTAGCTGAGGACACCTCCCCACGGAGAAGCCCCTCCAGCAGCAGAGGCACTGAAAAAAACACCCCTGAGGAGTCAGATGAGGAAGCACCCATATCTTCTCACTACTTTGCAAATAAAACCAGAAACGAAAGAAAGAGGAAAAGGATGCCAGCCTCCCAAAGAGCCAAGAGGAGAAGAACTGGTTTCGGTGGTTCAAGGACGAAAGGGTAAGTTCTACCACCTTGACTGCAGGTGGAAGGGAGAAGGGTAGAAGGGAGCAGGGCTGCCCTGCCTTGCCTTGAGGTGTTCATTAAAATAAGCCATTGTTCAGTGTTGCCTGCTTCAACTCGTGGAGTCAAGATTAAGCTTTCATTCAAAACAAGAAATTTTTTTTGTTTCAGATTTTTATAATATCTGCTCCTAGGTTGACTATCACTGAAGTTTTCTAGTTTGTAAAAAAGCTTCTCCAATTTTGACCTTACCTTCAAGGGGGAAAAAAAGTGGGGTTTTTTTTGACACTTGCACTGAAGAAACTTTTCCACCTTAAATACCGTAAACCATATTGTTGTTGTTTAGCTGCTAAGTCATGTCCGACTCTTTGCAACACGATGGGCTGTAGCCCGCCAGGCTCCTCTGTCCATGGAATTCTCCAGGCAAGAATACTGGAAGTGGGTTGCCATTTCCTTCTCCAGGGGATCTTTCTGACCCAGGTATCAACCCGCATCTCCTGCTTGGCAGGCAGATTCTTTACCACTGAGCCATCAGGGAAGCCTGTAAGTCACACACTAGCTGAATAAACAAAAGGGTTTTGTTTCCTCATGACTCTTATGATCCCGCCAGTACTTGCTACACCGCTTTTATTGCTGCAGCATCTGCAGGGCGTCCACCTGGAGGCCCCACACAACCCCTGTCATTCAGTAACAGCCGGGAGGCCAGCCTCCCGAGCTTAGCAGGGCAGCAGAGAAGAGGTAATGACTGGAACCCCCCAGAGGTCAGTCCAGCCCTGCCATCTCCCTGTCCCCACGTCTGCCTGGCCCCCGGGCTGGGACGCCCCAGCGTGGGGGTGCTCCCTGCTCACCAAGGCAGATCAAAGCCTCGCCATCAGGTCCGGGGTGACGATCTGAGCAGCGTTTGTATTTCTTCATCATTTCCCTGCTCTTTCCCGTCTGCTTCAAGAACACCCTCTGCCCTCACCTTCTAGGTCAGGTCTGGTGGGATGGCGACCATCCCTTCGGTGTTAACAGAAACATAGGAAAAGGGAACTCAGTAAACTTGTGCAGGCTATCGTGTTTTCCTCTTGCAGTTTTTCTACCTCTTTTCCTTCCGGGTTAATAAAGACCAAAAATTGAGTGGGGAAGAGAAAAGAAAGTAGTGTTGGCAAGCTGTCATTTTCTCCTTAAGTCCACAAACAAACATCTTGTATGTGCTAATCCTTGTGTTGGGGGACAGAAATTAAATACATTAGTAAATATTAGTTTAACTTTGTGGGTTTTATTTATCTATTTTAATTCTATTTAAACTTTAAACTTCACCCATTTATCCCTCACCCCACCCCATCCATGCCTCTTGCAACCACCACACCAGTCTGTTCTCTGCATCTGTGAACTTGGTTTAAATATTCATATGTATTTAGGTTCCACCTATGAGAGAGATCATAGAGTATTTGATTTATTTCATTTAGCCTCACGTCCTTGAGGTCCACACATATTGTTGCAACTAGCAGGATTTCATTCATTTTTATGGCTAAATAATTTCTGTGGGTTTTGATGTGCAAGTGACCCACCAATGCCCTTCTGTGGGGACGTTTTCTTAATTTCTTCACTTATTTCCCCATTTTGGGAAAGACTTGTTTCCTCAGGCAATCACACAGAGTAGAAGACCTTACAAGGCCTCTGTCCCGCTTCCTGGGACTTATGCTGAGAACACCGGGGCTTCCTGAAGCTTCCCCGGGAAAGGCGTGTGCAGCCCCGGCCTGGTCCCCATCTCACCCATGGGGCCGGACACTGGCTCACCTAGGCCTGCCCGGAGCACTTTCACTGCTGCATGTGGTCCACAGAGATTCCATCATGACCTCCTCCTGCTGCCCTTTAGAACAAAGCAGACCATTGTCTCCCTTAGTGTTGCCGCAACTGTTGTTTTTCAGAGGGAAGCACTTTGCCCTGTGGCCTGGAACCTAAGCTAGTAAGGGCCTTCCCTGTTGGCTCAGTAGTAAAGAACCAGCCTTCAGTGCAAGAAACTCAGATTGGATCCCTGGATTGGGAAGATCCCCTGGAGAAGGGAATGGCAACTCACTTCAGTATTCTTGCCTGGAGAATCCCATGGACAGAGGAGCCTGGTGGGCTACAACCTGTGGGGTGTCGCAAATACGCCTTGGTGACTGAACACAGCAGCACAGAGAAACTCACACTTGTCCCAAAGCCAGCACAGTTTTGATGCTGGTTTTTAATTAGTCTGTGTGTTTACGGCAGGATTCTTTTTAGTCCCTGCTGGCGAAAAGCAGCCAGTTGTGTCATACTGCTTTACCCTGTAGCAGCCTCGCTGTCTCCGTGCCCAGTTCTCCACATTTCCACTGACCCCCTCTGCAAGGTGGTGGCTCCCCACGTGTCCGGGCCGCTTACCTGGCTGGGGCCCCAAGCAGCCACGGGATCAGCATGGCTCCCTGCCAGTGCCCTCACCTCCCCACCCTGCCCTCAGAGTTTTACATCTTCTGAACAACACACAATGAACTGGTTGTGTTCTGGGCCCTGAGTGGGAGTGAAATGGATGGCTCTGGTGAAGATGGAGGCTGCTGTTGGCAGATTCATTCTGTAAATCAATATCAACAGCAGGTTTTCTCTCGGGGCTTAATTTCTCAGCAGGAAATCAGCATAGGGAGATGTAAGGCTGCTTCTCTGCTAGTTTTAGCAGATCTTTACCAGTTCTGCAGTAAAACTGCCCTCGAGCAAGAGTTTTAAAATGTTGAAAAACCACTTTTCACTCAGCCCCACTGAAATATCATCAGCAGACTGATGGCCCTGATACCAGGCCCTCTGAGGCCGCTTGGGTGCCCTGATGACCAGGAATTAACACGGGGCAGGAATTCAGCCTGGCTGCAAAGCGACGGGAAATACTGGTTTAGGGACAGGCTTCTATGGCAAATGCTGCCTGCTGTTAGCCTTGTAAACACACTGGCCCTGTAATTTTTTTTTTTTTTTTAACAGTTTATTCGGTGGGGAGAGAAAAGCTGTTATCTTCAGATCAGTGGGGAAAGTGAGGTGCTGGAAGACCTCTGTAGTAGACTGTGGCAGGGGCTCCTTAACCTGTTTTAAAGGCAGCAAGTGTGAGGTGAGAGCAGGCAGACCTTGGAGTGTAGACAAGCGAGCGAGCCGCTGGCAACAGGGTCCGATGAAGACACGGTGGCCCCAAGCTGCTCCCGCCCGGGAACCACGTCTGCAACCTGCCCAAGACTGGCAGGCTGTGGGAGTTCAGTGATCCCACCACACCCGTTGTCCAGGCACTGGGGCCTTAAGACGAGGTGCTGCCACTTTTCTGTGTGGTTGGAGTAGGTGGGGAATGTGAGTCTCAGCTCAGAGTCTGGAGGGATGGGTGGAAAGAAGGGAGAGGAGAGAGAAGGTACCTGGGGTTGGGCTCAAGTCAGAGAGTCCTTGACATGTTAGGAAGACATGTCTAGGACAGGTTTGTGTAAAGGGCAGCAGTCCTTTATTCCTTGAATTGTAAAGGAAACTTACCTCACCCCAGGGCCATCATAGGCCAAAAATGCAGAGACATGTCATACCAAGGAAAGGTTTGGATTATAAAGTGCACGCAGGTTAAAGGGCTTCCCTGGGGGCTCAGTGGTGAAGAACCTGCCTGACAAGCAGGAGAAACGGGTTCGATCCCTGGGTTGGGACGATCCCCTGGAGAAGGAAATGGCATCCCACTCCAGTGTTCTTCCCTGGAGAATCCCGTGGCCAGAGGAGCCTGGGGGGCTACAGTCCATGGGGTCGCAAAGAGCTGGGACAGGACTGAGCAGTTAAACCACAATAATGCAGGTTAGGAGAAAAAGGACTGTTCACTTTTGGTTTTATTTGACATTTTAATTTTCTTTTCTTTGTCACGTTTTAGGGGGTCCAGCACATGCCGAAGGATGCCTTCTAAAACTAAACCCTCCGACATAATCGGACCCAGTTCCACTTTGCATGGTTCTCAAGCAGCATCAGGAGTCAGTAGGAAATTGGGCATTATGGCTCCACCAAAGCCTATAAATAGACCGTTTCTGAAGCCTTCATATGCATTTTCATAACAACCAAATCTCGATGTACATAGATCTCATTTCTTGTTTGTCAGCATCTGACCATCTGTGAATATAAAGCTGTTAGTTTCGTTATACCATTTGTAAATTTTTACCCGTATCTATTAATATTTAAATAAATGCTCGGGGTGACAGTTCTGGTTTTTAAAATAAACATTTTCTTATTTTTTTTTTTTGAAACACATGCACAATTTGCTGCCACTGCAAACGCTGTGGCCATTGTTTCTCAGAATGTCTGTCCCAGCAGCTGAATCATCTCAGTGAGAGAAATCTTAAGCACGACATGAAACACAGAAGCCAGAGGGAAAGATTCAAACGGGACAGCATGAAACTGTAAAACTTTTTGTAGAAGACAACATAAGCAACGTTAAAATATAAATGACAGAGAAAAAAGGGAAGAAAATGCATGACACAGGGTTCATATCCATAATATATAAAGTGTACCTGTAAATCATTAAGGAAAAAAAAGACGAGCTAGTAGAAAAATGAGAAAGGATGTGAATAAGCTGTTCTCTAAAGAGGAAATGCAAACAGCCCACAAATATGTGAAAAATACTCAATCACTCTTGTTTAAAATATCAATTAGAACAATAAGTTGCCATTCGTTTGCCTATGAAATTGTCAGCCCTAGATGATAAACCTGGGGTCTGCAAGAGAAGGGTCAGAAGTTCTCTGTGAAAACATGTATTAATACTGGTGTCTTCCTTTTGCATCAAAGAAGCCTTACTTGTCAGGACCCTCCCTGAACTGGCTGATTAGCCAGAAAGTCTTACAGTGGGATTTTGGCACCTCTTTTCTCAGTTCCAGCCCCTTATTTTTGGAGACATCTTTCCCCAGCTGTCATGTAACTTTGGTAACACCTGTTGGGTACCTCACTTCTTGACCTCTGTCAAGAGGATAGCTGGGGAGCCCTTCCCTGGACCAAACTTGTTGAAGAGGAGTTGGGGGGGAGTCTGTGGCCTTGGCCTGGAGACGATGCTGAGGCCGACCCTGCACCCACCTGAAGGGTCGCCCTCGGAGCTGCATGCCTGCCCCCTGCCACTAAGGCCTTGGGCCTTCAGTTAATGGAGGAGACTGGGAGGCAGGAGTCTGCTGAGGGCCATGCCCTGTTAGCGCCAGATGCCTCCCGGAGCTGACCTTTTTCAGAAACCACTTTTCGGGCAAGTCCCGACTCAGTTGGCCAGAAGAGCCTCCTCGGGGTGAGAGGAGGAAGTGGAGAACAAAGCAGCCAGTGGTCTGGACTGCAGGGTTCATGTTGCTGGCCTGAGGCCTCCATGGAGAGCTGGCCGTGCATGCGGGCATCTGGCAGTGGTGGCACCTTCCACCTGCAGCAGCTCTGGCTTCAGGGCCAGAGAGGGGATGAGGGGCCAGCCTCCACTCAGAGTGTGCCACACATCGGGCTGCTTCCCAGCTCTGACCTCACTCGCTCATTCAGTCCTCTACTGGGCACCTCTGTCCGAACTCTGAGCTAATTTTCCCCTCCGCAGTGCCCACTCTGCCTTCAGGGGCTCCCAGGGGAGTCAGGGGGAGGGAACAGGTGAAGGTGGTGCCTGGGGGCGCCAGGGTCAGTGCAGAGGCTTTGATCAGGGCAGCACCACCCACGCCTGTCACCAAGCTCAGAGGAGGAACTCCCTGCAGGAACCTGGGGCCTGGAAACCTCAGGCTAGCCTGGGATCAAGGGGCAGAGGCAGGTCCCACACCCATCTTGCCACCTCGTTCAAAATGCTGGGTTGGCACAGGTTCTGGTCAATTTCTCAGTCCCCAGGAGCAGCCACAGGAAATGCAGGCAGCCTCCTTAAATTCTTCCTGGACCTCCCAGAAAACAGCTGTGTTCATACAGGGCAACCTCAGAACAGAAGCACACAGGCTTTCTCTGAACCAAACTGGGACCTCTGGCAGAAAGCAAAGCTGCTTCAGGCCAGGTGCTGGGAGGGGTCCTCCATGAGTTCCAAAGACCACCACTTGGGAGGAGGGGAGCAGAGAAGTCCACAAAGGAGTTGCAGCCTCGGACCCTTCACCGGCCCACCCTCCCCAGGTACAGGTGGGCCTGAGGGTGGAGGCCGGTGCTGGGGCCTCACCATCACCCTGCGGGAAGGCACAGGACAAACTGGAATCTGACTGCCCCACTGTGTACATACCTTCCCTGGCCCCTCCCCAGGAGCACTCCCTCCAGAGAGCTGACAGTTCCTTGCTTCCCTCCAAGGACAGGAGCCCTCTTCCTCACTGAAAGAGAACAAATATGGGGAGCCCAGTCTATGCTGAGGGCTGTTCAGGCATTTTCACATAATTTAATGGTCTCTAATCCCTCAGCTCCGATACTTTGGCCACCTGATGTGAAAGACCAGCTCCTTGGAAAAGAGCCTGATGCTGAGAAAGAGCAAGGGCAAGAGGAAAAGCGGACAACAGAGGACGAGATGGTTGGAAGCATCACCAACCCAGTGGACGTGAGTTTGAGCAAACTCCAGGAGACAGGGAAGGACAGGGAAGCCTGGTGTGCTGTAGCTCATGGGGCCGCAAAGAGTTGGACAGAACTTAACCAACTGAACAGCAACATTCCCTCCACCAGCCCTGGGAGGCAGGCACACAGGATCAGCCTTTTTTATGCAGAAATAGGAATTCAGAGAGGTTACGTAATTGCCCAAATGCCCACAGCTCAGAAATGCTAGTAAGTAGGGTAGCATACGTCTCGGCTTGCCCTGAGGAGTCCCAATTGTATCTGCTGCCCTGGTGTAATAATTAAGACAACTCCCTTCCAATTCTTGAAAGTGCTCTAGTTTCTATGCTAAATTATAAGGAATCCAGGTCTGTGCTCTTTCCCTGGACAATCCAGCCTCCTCTCCCAGCCCGTTTTCCCTCCCAAAGCCACAGGGACCACCCTAACACTCAAAACTTCAGAACCTTGCGGCAGGCTCGAGGCACAGAAGCAGCAAAGCTTATCAGCCAGCACAGCTGAACTGTGGTTTTCCTCCAGAAGAAGATGCAGAGGCTGTGATCCAGGCCCCCTTGCTCTGCTCAAGACACGGCCTCTCTTCCTACAGCCTGGAGCTGCTCGGAGCCCCCAGGGCCCACCCTGTGCCGAGAGGCTTGCTGGGTCCCCAACCCGGCTCTCCTCTGAGCAGCAATCTGGGTTGATGGTGGGGTGAATCTCAGTGAACTCTGGGGCTCCCACCCTGGTGGAGGCCTCTGAGCAGGGGGCCATTGACCCAAGCCCTCAGCGGAGACCCCAAGAGGCATCACTTTTCCCTCAGGACAGCAGTCGTGTCCCCCGCTTAGCTGCACAGACAGGACTTGGAGATGCAGGCTAGTGGGACACTCTCAGGGTCCCCAGTCTCGACCGGCCCCTGCTAGGTTCCCCAGGCCGTGGACCCAGCCCCCACTGACTGGTCATCAAGGGCTGTTTCTACAGCTGTGCCAGGCATCACCCGAGCTGCTGGAACCCGCACCCTTGGCCTTTAGAAAGCTCCTGTTTTTCAAAAAGCACTTATTCTCCTGTCCTCTCCACCCCCAGAACAGCTTTCCTCAGCCAGACCTATGTTCCCTGTCTGCAAGAGAGAAAGGAAGGAGGGAACAAAATCCCATCGAGGCTGGAGTGGGCCACGGGGACTCTGTTCTGGGCAGAGGACAGAGGACAGGACGAGAGGCTGGACAGAAGCTGGATCTCGAGTCCGCAGACCCTCAAGGAGGAAGGTGTTTCCCAAGCAGGGAGGAGGGTCTGAGGCTCGTCCTTGCTGCTCAGAGGTGTGGGTGATGGGGTTTTGGTGTCATCACAGCTCAGCTGCGTGGGTGCCCATCCCACAGAGGCTGTGGTGACCGCCAGTGACAGGCGGCCCCTCGGCCTACTCCGGATATGGGAGCCCCCGCAGCGGGTCTCCGTCTGTCCCCCCGGGTCCCCCACACACGGCCTCTCCCGGCCCCAGGGACTCGGCTGCTGGCAGGACCCTCAAGCCCCCACAGAGGTTGGGGTCCCCGGCCCAGCTCCGGGCGGGAGCAGAGCACGCAGGACCCCTCTGAGGGGCAGGAATGAGCCACACACCTCTGGGCAGGTGACTGGGCATTGGGACCTGGTGGTCTTCGCTGCTCTCAGGAGGAGAGGTCTGGAACCCTAGCCTGGAAGGAGGCATGTCTGCGAAATGAGCCTTGTGGCTGGAGTCCCGCTCACACTCAGCACACTTCCCCAGCAAGGGCCCCAAGCATCTTGTGACCCGAGGGACAGGGAACCCTGTCAACCTCAAGACGGAAGTGTGAACGTCTGTGGCGGCCGTGGTTTGACAGTTACAGTCGAGAGCAGGCCGCCCTTGCCAGCCCCACAGGCCCGCCATCTGCAGCTGCACGCGCTCTGCCACGGGGGACCACGGCGGGGGGGTGGGGGGTGGGGGACCACCATCCACTCATCACCGCCAGTCCCGGCTCCCAACCCCTCGGCCCTGCTCGTTTCACATGCGCTGAGTGCCCTTTGCAAGCCCCCTGGCCTTCCTGAGCCTCAGCTTCTCATCTGCACGGGAATTGTTAACAGCTGGCCCTGCCGTCCGAGGTGGTGATGGTGTCCTCTGGTCAAAGGTCCCGCAAATGTTTGCCAGTCTGAAACCAGAGACCCTGGTATGGCTGTGGCTTTCAGCGCTTTCACAATCAGAGAGGGAAGCCATGATCACTCGCCCCTGGGGAAGGAGAGGAGAAGCAGCACTGGGCGATCGGGGTGCTACGGGAGCCCCAGGGGAGACCTAGTCCAGCCTGGAGGGCTCAGGAAGTGAAGTTCGAGCCTTGGAGAATGAGTAGGAATTCAGAACAGGAGGAGACCCCAGGGAGCCACAGAGGTAAAGGCTGGAGGGGCGCTGGAGCCTGGCCCGAGGGGGGACCGCCCTGGGGTGACAGCCAGCCAACCAAGGGAGGGAGGTGGGTGAGCCAGCCGCCAAGGTCCTGGCCGAGGAGTGGGGGCCTGTCCCCGGGGAAGGCTCTGAAGCCAGAGAGACACGACCCAGTTTGTGTTTGAAAAATGACTCTGATCACAGGGCCGGGAAAGGATTGAGGCGGGTGAGGCCAGACGCCAGCAGAGAGGCAGGAGGCTCGTGCTTGTCCAGGAAGAGAAGCAGCAGTTCTCGGGGTAACAGGTGGCAGGAGAAGCCAGATGCCACTGACA